ATGTTAGCAGTAATACTAGTCTAGGACAGAGCCCTGGAAGAGACTTTTAGACATACTGGGCTTAGCCTCTGCTAGGTGTTAATACTAGGCCAAAGTTGGGACAGATCCCTGCCCCTTTTTGTAAATATAAATATAGAATCTCGCCATTTTCAGATCCAGATCCAGCTCCTAAGTGAAACACACAGTTTCCTTGTGAGGCAGAGAACAAAGGTGAAAGAATATCATCTTTTATACTAGCAGTGCTGGAGATTACTCTTTAGTGTATTGCTAGGTAACCAAGTCAACTGGCACACAAAATGAATTACTACAGAAGAACAGAAGCAATCGATTTACTCAACGGTTTTGTTTGCATTACCTCAAGGATATTGGGAACAGGTACTAAGAGTTTAAAACAAAACCCAATATAAAACAGAGAATCAAATCTAGCTACTAAAATATGTAGTACACCAAAGAACTCTCCTCTGATAAGGGAAGTAAATAGAGCATGTGCAACTATGTAACTTTGAAAATTCTTTCTGAAAGCTTCCAGCTGCACACTTGCAAAACTGAGGAACTAAGCATTGTAAGGTGTTTTTTTAAGCTAAGGAAGGATTTAAATATATTCCTCTCTGCTAGCACCTTACTTTTACACAAAATAAATAAACGCAATCCTGGCATTTGCTGGATGCACACTGCCATGGACTCCCACTGCCACCTAGTGACAATGAGTATTAAATGGTCTATTTTGGTTGATTCTTGGTAAGTCTGCTACCCAACCATACAGCTTATGCCAGAACCATACAGCCAAAGCATTTTGCAATCGTGCCATGATCATTCGCACTACATTTTACAAATGTAATAACATGCTTTTTTCCTATACCTCTATAATGGTCTTTGCTGTAAACCAGAGAAGTTAATATAACTTTTAATGTTTAATCAAATAATTGTTTACAATGTAAACAATACTATGATATGAATGTATTTATTAACATATCTGAAAGGTGTATATTGAAAAGACACAGAGGTACTTTTTCATATGATCGAGTATTAGTTTAATTTATTCAGAATACTGGAAAAGAAAGGAGACCCTCCATTTAGGAATATGATATATCAAATCTTAGGATCATGCCAAACTGAATACGATCACTTTATGTATCTTATTTGACATGAGGGGAACTGAATAGGTTTGAAGAAAAGTGTGTGAAGCTATTTTTAAGGTAATGCCCACAACACTTCCTTAGAATTCCAAATGGGTCCACATAGCTAGTTAAAGCAAGGTAAAGGCATTATTCTTGTATTAAATGTTTATAAAATTGCAGATGACAGGTTTGATCTGAAAAACAGGCATCTTCCCTTCTGTTATACCAACATGGCTCATGTCCCTTGTAAAGTAAAATAACAACACATTTGTGCACCATCAGAAAACAAAGAAAACATAACTCTTACTTCAGAAATACTGTTTTTACCCATATGCAATGTATGCAAAATAAATAAATTAACCAGTTAATTTACTAGAACTCACATAATTAATTGATTCATGGTACAATCTGGTACTTGTCTTTTCGAAGTGGGTATAGGATTGGGAATGCAGTCTACACTTAAGAAAGTCATGACTTGTCTTTCTTTCTTTCTTTTCTTTCTTTCTTTCTTAGGGGTATTTCTAGCCAGTCCAATTACTGTATGTCTCTGGACAGCTTTCAATAAACCACCCAATAAATAAATCATAATAAATACATGATAATAATCCAAACATGATAACTTTAAAGGTGTATCATATGTGGATCTTTATGCAGCCAAAGTGGCACCATCCAAGGGAAGGGAATCAGAAGCAGCCCAATGAGCACAGCATGCTCAGAGGCCACTGAATCCTGGCTGACTATTGGAGATTTGGGAAATTGGAATGAAATTAGGCATCCTGGGAAAAGGCATGGCTAGCTGGAATTCTAAACAAGAAGACTGCAATGGTTTGCTGCAAACACTACTTCTTGTTTTCTGTTAGCCAAAGAATACACTGACTATGTCCTTTAAATTCAAATGTCAGTATATTATAGCCTTAAAAATTGACACACCATACTGTTCCAATGCTTTTATTTGCCATTTTGTTCAGTCCAATGTGCTTTCAAGCAATTTAAAGGCTCAACAGTTGGTGAAGTTATGCAGTTCTAGTGCAAGACCAGATGATTATTTTTTTTAAGATAATGTTGTGTTGCAGTAAAGCTGCATTTTCTCAGTACTTGAAAGGCTTTTTTTTCTCACTGGGAAAATGAGATTCCTCCCCTCAATGGCAAGTAAATGTTCCACCCTCCCTATTTTCTGGTACCAACTTCCAATAAACCAACTGTTGCCTTATGGCTGAGGAGGAGATGTTGGCAATGACATTTTAAAAATAGTGTGCACCCCCAAGGTCTGAATAACCTACATTTCTGAATGGAGAACAGATATTGGGAGGAGGGTGCATTTGATTTGGATGGATCCTAAACCCTGAGTGGAATTTGGCTGCTTTGGAGAAATTTGGATCTCTTCCAAGCACGGATTTTTTCCAGGGTGTGGGCAAAGTTATACTATCCTATACCCTGGACAGAAGACCTGCACACTGCTTCTGTCTGGGATGGTCATCCTCTTCTACGAAGCACACAGCTTCAGGACAAATGCACATGGAATAGTGAGGAAGGAAAGAGACACCTCCTAGCCAGCCAGAATAGCTGAATCAAACCTGGCGATCAGTCAGGAGACAGATGTCACAGCCAGATCACTCTCACCTCCACAAAGCTATACTACCGCATTTTTCGGTGTATAAGATGCTACTTTTTCTTAAAAACATTTACTTAAAAATGGAGGTGTGCCTTATACATGGGGAGCCAAAAGGAGAACCGTGGGCGCGCTTGGGGCGGGGGGAGACTGGCGCGATTGCGCGTACCCGTGGGTGGGCAGTGAAGCGGCACACATGGGGGGGCGGTGAGGTGGCACGCGGGCGGCAGCAATTTGCTCGCTGGGCATGGGTAGGAAAAGTGGGGGGTGTCCTATACATGGGGGTGTCTTATAGATGGAAAAATATGGTATGGTGTGTGATTGCAATATCCTTATGTGTCTGCACATGCTTTATTGCTCAGGGTCAGATTACATGACATCTAGAAGCCCATACAGAGCGGCAGAAAATCCTGGAAATTCAACAGAACAGTATATTAATTAATGCAAAGATCATGAGAGTTGGACTGCCTGGTTTTAAAGGAGAAGTTAGATACAGTGGGCATAACAGAGACTTGAACATTTTGGCGGTGGTGTCACACTATACCTTAAAGGGGCATAGTGTCTAGCAGACTAGAGACACTAGAAGGGGCAGCCTCTGAAAAAGAAGTGCTGTGGGCAAGAATAACAGGCTCCAAGCATAATTTCATACTGTCATTTACTGATCCAGAAAACCCTGGTGATCTTGAAGCTGAAAATGAAATCAGGGAGGCATTCCAACAATAAAATAATGTAATAATGGGTGACTTCAATTACCCCCTTTCTAACTGAAGAAACATGGCTGTCATGTTCCAACCATGACAAAGAGTGGAAATTCCTCACTGTCCTAAATGGCTGTGCTCTAGAAAAACTGATCACAGAACCAACCAAAAGGGACACAGCCCAGGACCTATAGAGAGATATTAGTATTGAACCAAGTACAGTGGCCACAGTGCTATCAAATTTAATTCATATTTAAGTGCAAATGTGTAAAGGAAATTAAACACAGTCACATTTGACTTCAAAAGGAAGCATCTCGAACATGAGGGGACCATTAAAACATGAACTGAAACAGAGAGTCAACGAGATTAAATATCTCCAAAATGGTTGTAGGTTACCCAAAACCATACTAGCTAGAATGTATACTGCAAATCAGGAAGGACAGCAGCAAGTCCAAGAGGTCACCATCACAATTAACAAGAAGTATCAAGGAAACTCTGAATTGGTGCTCAGAGCTGCCATTTTTATTTCATACAGTCAACATCATCTAACTCTGTGACATTGTGGGAAATTAAAATGGTTGTTCCCAGCCAACATTCCAGCGTTAATATGGGGCCAGGATATCATTCTATTTTTCCATTGAGGTTCATTGCAGAAGTTAGCAATAGGTCTGACCAGAGTGTTCCCACTAGGTCTGTACTCCACAGTATTATGTAGATGCAAGTTGACATTTGTTCTATTTTCCCTTAACTTTTGGTTAACAACATCATGAACTATGATTATTGTTACAACTGTGCTTAATCCTGAACATTCTGTGCTTGGTCCTGAATTTTATATAGATTAATTTATTATTAGATATCTATCTCACTGCTTTCTTACAAAGAACCCAACATGGCTTATATCATTCTCCTGCTGCTCTCAGTCTTATTCCCACAACAACCACCCTGTGAGGGAGGTTGGCCTGAGAGTCTGTGACTGGCCCAAAGCCACCCAGCTGATTCCATGGCTGAGCGGGGACTGGAACCCTGATCACCTGACACCCAGACACATACTCTTAACCACTATACCACACTGGCTCTTGATAATTTATCCCTAGCTGTGACATATTGCTCATCAGTTTAGTACTAAAGTAATATTCTTTAAATGAATGTCAATAAGTAAGTGTATATTCAATATTTTAGAATTAACATTAAGAATGATAAATGGTTGACATCTCACATAGCCATATGAAAGAAAAAGCTGCAATCCTCTGCGTGTTTAGCCAGACAAAACCCAACTCCAGCAACTTGATGTTTGCCCCAACTAGCACGGCTGACTCGAAATCTGGGACTTTTAAGACCTTTCTCTGTTTAAGCACACATAGGATTGCACCCCTAAACGATATAACCCGAGATTTTTGAATACAGGGGGTAGGCAAGGACTCACCTAAGTGCATCCGGAGGGCGCCGCATCCCTCGCCCGGGCCCTCCTGCAATGCCACCTCCGCGGCCGCAGGGGCCGCTGCAGGAGCGGAGAGCTCCTCCTCCGTGGCCGGATGCCGCGGGATCCGTGCGCGGCCTGGCGCGGCGGTTCCGCTCGCTTTCGGTCGCGAGGCGGGGGGCGGTGCGGGGAAGAGCTTGTCGTCGTTTTCGTCGTCGCCGCCGCCGCTGCAGTCAGAGGCGTTGGCAGACCTGAGCAGCAGCCGCAGCACGATGCCCACCGTGGAGGAGCTGTACCGTAATTACGGCATCCTGGCCGATGCCAAGGAGACCGCGGCCGAGGTGGGGACGCGGCGGGGCGGTGGAGAACCGTCTGCTCGCCCGCGGGGCTCCTGGGCCTAGGCCGGTCGCGGCGGGGTGGGGGCGAGAACCCCTCAGCCTGTGATGCAGCCACGCGGATGGACGCTGGCCGAGCGGGAGCAGGGTCTCGGGAAGGCCCCCTTGGCAGCCCAGATACCGCCGGTAAAAGGCTTGGCAGCCCAGATACCGCCGGTAAAAGGCTGCTCTCATGCGGGGAGGAGGACGCCGCTCCGTTGCTCTCGCACACGCAGCCCGCTAAATGTTTCCTGGATAGGCATAATTGCTGTGCCGCAATCGCTGGTTCGTTGCGTGGAGTTGATCAGCGAGTGTCTCTCCTGGTGCTGCTCGTTTGTGCTGAGGCGGCCGTTCTGAGTCTTTCCTTGTTCGAGAGACTTTCGCAGCCCTTCCCCGTATTTCCTCTCCACTCCCTGATAGGATTGAAAACGCTCTGAGGAATTCCGAATAATGAGCGCCGTTGAGTTTCGCACTCGCAATAGCTAGCAAAAACTTTCAAACTGCCTTTTCCCTCCTTCGCTTGTGAGCGTTCATTGAAAAGATGTCCCTGATTGCAGCAACAGTGAGTGCTAAGACTAAAATGAGATGGTAGGATTCTGTCTTTACCATGCCAGTTGGCAGCTGGGAAATCCTATTTCGAAAGTTCTATATAGGGGACAAGAACAGTATTGTTTTATTAGCAGAGGTTTGCTTAAGTTTTCCACAGATGTAATTTTATCTGCTGGGAGGAAAGCATCATTCAGCACAGCGGTGCTTTCTCCCATTGCACCCTTGCAGGGGTTCAGTCTGATTTGCTTGCAGTGGTGGGGGAATGTCCCTTTTTCAGTATGTTCAAACAAAAATCTAGCCTGAATGCACTTTCTGTTGTGCAATTTACCCAGAAGTAGACCTACAATGTAGTCCTTTCAGGATATTGTCACCTGTGCAGTGGTAGATTATGTTCCAAAATTGCAACAACTTCTCCTTTAGTTTTCTTTAACAAGAAAGGGCCCAGGATACAAAAACATCCCAAAAAATCTGTTTTTGACTTTGGGGTGCTATTTTGGTCTTAGCCAATGTATTGTGACAAACTGACCTCTAGGAAGGCAGGCCTGATATAGAGTAGAAAAGTGCCTTTTGGGGGAAAATTTAGTTCCATACATAGACACATGCCACACCAAAAAATGACAGTCTGACATAGTACAACACATTTGGACTAAACATGAATAGGATACACTGTAAGGATATATATTCAAAATCCTATTGCATAGATTCCTCACTCTTCAAGGGCATGACACACCTCATTTTGGGGAGGAATCAGCATTACATGATTTTGAATATGTATCTTCTAGTATAATCCTTTTCATGTTTAGTCAGAGGTAAGTTCCTTGGTGTTTCTTCCTTAAAATCTGGGTGATCTACTGCAATATCTTTGCATTTAGGCTGGTTGTGTAAAAGACCAGAAAGTGCTATATTCTTCAGCCAGCTGTGCCAATGACAGCTTCTTTTAATTTATAGGAATGTGTTTCATGTATTATTCTGCAAATATTTTCTGTATCAGATCCTGCACAGTCCACAGAAATAATAAATATTCCGTTTTCTTTGCTTTTACTTAGAGAACACAGTTACATGACATGGTTTATCAGGACTCTAAAGAATTGTGAAGGACCCAACATACTGGGGCATGCCACTTGATCACTTCCACTGGACTGCAGACTTTCCATCCATAGTTGGTTTGCTTGTGATGTCTCCACTTGCTTGGGCAAAGAAGCCAGAATGCCTGGTTGACATGTCACAAAAAACGACTATGGATGGAATGTCCATGGTTTGTTTAGCAGCTTCCACTCTTAGCAGGAGCAACTGAGCAGCATGTACCAGAGCCACTGGTTTAAGATAAGCCAGAAATCTTTAGAAGCTTGGTTATTGTGCCTTGCAAATGTGGTTATTGTCTGCTGTATTCTGAACTTTTGGATAGATGGCACTGTATTATCAAGTCTCCATTTAATTATTTTAAGCCAAAAACATAGAAGTTGCTTGGCTTCAAACAAAAAGCTGGTTCACAGTTGCAGAACAGACACTAAAAATACCTTTCTGAGTGCTTATATGGCACATGAATGTTGTACACGTAGTACTCTTGAAAGATCTTGAATTGCAGTGAGCTCTAGTAAGTAAACAAGTGTGCCTAAATTGTTAATATTTTATAAGCCAATGATTTGAATTCCACTAAGTGCAGATGCCAGAGTGCTGGTATGTTATGGTTTTTTGAGGACTCACTCATATTGGTGTGGTAAGTGCATCATCACATAGCTGACTCACGTTTGCCATCTAATTGAGGTTCCTTGTGCAACCCCTTCTTCCAGAAGGGCTTGATCTTTACCTTTCATGCTTCAGAAAAAATTGAGTACCCATGTGTGCTTATGAAATTTTTCATCTTGAGTGGTATGCTATAAGCAAGTACATGTACTTTGTTTATTATTGGAAATTCATATTTATGCATATCTATACAATAATATTCTAATTTTTCAGGATAAAGTAGAAATTGCATAAAAGAAGTGTTTTCTGTCTTCTTTAGCATAAAGATGCTTACCAGGTGATCTTGGATGGTGTCAAAGGGGGTGCCAAGGAGAAGAGATTAGCAGCACAGTTTATTCCAAAGTTTTTCAAACATTTTCCTGAGCTGGCTGATTCAGCTATTAATGCCCAACTGGACCTTTGCGAGGATGAAGATGTTTCGGTAAGTGCCTTTTCTTTCACAATAAGCTGCTGTAGGAATGGTTTACACTTGTGTCTTGTTCCTCCTTGTTTGCTTATTTGATCTCTAACTTGCTTTTCCCTCAAAAAAACAAAAAACAAACGGTGTTCCTGGTGCCTAACATGCGCTCCCCAGAGAGGTCCACCTGGTGCCATCATCATATGTTTTTCGGCACCAGGTCAAGACCTTTTTATTTAATCAATATTTTAATATGTTTTAATGCTGAATTTTATTGTTGTATTTAATTAATTTGCAGCCAGAGTGGATTGTCAATTTAATGTTGTAGGCTGTCCAGAGATGCAAGTAATCGGGCGGCATATAAATAAATAAAGGAAATAGCAATAAAATACAGATTCAAAATAAAATCCCAATCAAAGCATGACATCAAAACAAATAAAGAACAGTTAAAACCACAAACGCTGGAGTATAGGAATAAAACCATATTTCTCTGGAGTTTTGAGAGAGGCAGAAATGATAGGGCCTATCACTACTGACACCAAAAGAAAGGAGTAGGTCTTACCTCTGTGGTCAATGCAGTGAGGAAAATTGCACCAACAGGTTCTTCAGGTAACTATTTTATCTGCCAAGTTCATTCAGTTGTGAAATGTGATTGTGCATAAACTGCTCAGGTTACACCTGGTATACATGCAAGGTCCATGAGATTTGTTAACAATCATTGACAACTCATGTTTGTTACCATGTTGTATTTCTGCAACTAATGCAATTATGTGTCAGTTAATGGTGGAACACGTTTATGGCTTAAAAATGATGGTCCCAGTTAAACCTCAGATACCGTTCAGGTAGGCATTTATACTTTACATTCTGTTATATTATTGGTTCTGATTATGTGCAATTCTACTAGAAAATGGGAGATCTTTATAAAGGAACGTTTCCGGGAGGGGTTTAACTTGCAAATGATGTAATGTTTAACAACCTTAACCAAGGTTTTTTATTTGTATAGCTTTCTTGGGGTCAATTTAATTTTAGTAGTGTATTGATGTTGTCAGCTTTTCTGTCTATGGAAGCCAAGAAAGGTTGGTGTGCCTGTCCATTGACATTAGTGAAATATGCCATGAAGCCAAATATCCTGTGGCTAAGTGCAGGTATACTTTTTTTAATTGCACAATATCATCATCTAGTAACAGAAATAGAGAGGTTAGCTTTCTTGGTTCATTCAGACTTGCTTTATTTAGAATCAGACATATTTTTCCTCCCCTGTAACTACAGGCAAAATTCAGTTTTGTATAACTGGGCTTCCACTTGCTCGGTGAAACTTTCTCTGTTCCCTGCAGCACCACATGCTGGCTCACATTCTACTCCTTCTAGAAAGACAGGAAGAATTTCCCTCTCCCTGTTCTGCTGACTGAAGCCATTCCATTGGCATAGAGGATGGGACAGAAGCAGAGTTGGAAGGGGCCTAAAAGACCATTGAATCCAACCCCCTGGTCCATTACTACATGTGGTCACCCATCTGGCTGCAGGCCCATGCTTCTCCAGCTTAGCAAAGGAGAATCATTATGCTTCCTCAATATATAGCTATGCAGGCTATACCCTAAAAGTACATTTAGAAATGCACCTTTGTGGTTTTTATAATTGCTGTACAGCGGCAGAGTCCATGTGTTCCCAATGTGTATGTTAAAATTTTAAAAACAAATTACTTGTTAAATAAATGTAAACAACTAAAATAACAATACAAATTAAAAGGAAGGAGGAGTAATTTGAGGCAAGATGAAAAGTGTTGTGCCAGTTTACAAAACTATGACAGAAAGGGAGGAGCAGTACTATCCTGAGTAAAAGTATTCTGGAGTTCCAAGGTCACTACAGAGAAGCCCCTGCTTCTTGTGGAAATCAACCTGAAACCCACAGGAGTTGTATCCTTGGCAAGACTTCTTTGATTCTTTATGCATATTTTAGTTCTGTTAATGTTGGCACAAGGCTTTACTTCTGTTTTCTTTGTTCCTCTAGGGCAGTGGCAGCTCTGTCTCTCATCAGTCACTCATGGACTAGATTCCATAGAGGAGGTTCATGATATTTATTTACTTATTTCATACTGCCCAGTAGCCAAGGCTATCTGGGCTGTTAACAAGTGTTTTTAAAAAATAAAAATTTAAAATACATAGCCTTAGGATCCTAGAAACTCAGTAGTGATGGACTGATGGATAGAAATCAGCACAGTTCAGCAGAAAATACAGAAATAGTGGCTGTCTTTAATGGCCTCTTGTTGAAATGTTGGTATAGATATAGGTGGAATTATTTTATTTAAAACATTTCTGTGCCATCAGTTGCATAGCCTCAGTATGCCTCGCAGCAAAATAAATAACCATATAAAATACAATTAAAATTCAATAATAAACATTGAAACATTCAATCCAACCAATATATTCCAAATTGAAGAAAAGAAAAAAGGAAAAGAGAAAGAATATGCAACTGATGGATATTTCTTTTTAAAAATATTAATTTAATTATTAAAATGAAGGGTAAATAAAAAGGTCTTTACCTGGCACCGGAAAGAGCAGAGTCAGCGCCAGGTGGACCTCTCTGGGGAGCATATCCCATAGTTTGAGAATTATCTGTATGAGAGGATTTGTTTATTTTTTCACTTGATGAATGTGTGAGTTTTTAATTTATTTTATAGATCAGGCGCCAAGCAATCAAGGAATTACCTCAATTTGCTACAGGGGATAACCTTCCCAGAGTGGCAGATATTCTCACCCAACTTCTGCAGTCAGGTAGGAAAAACTGGTGTTCGTTTTTGTAGTTGGCTCACAAGTTATAATTAAAGTAAAGGGAACTAACTTTTGCTAAAACTGCCTTTGTACTCTTAGCCTTCTTGCTTTTCCCTCACCGGTGTTCAGGATCCTCCCCACCACCACCGCTTTATTCCTGCTGACTTATCTAAAAGATTTCTAAAAGTTATGGATGTTCACCAAATGAAATTTCAAACATATATAGGGAGCTGGTGAGGCACATACCAGTCTTGACTCATGATGAAAAGTTCACAGGGCACAGTATGAGAAAATTCATTGTAGTAGACTTGGCAAGAACTCTTGTGGTCCCTAGGCATCTGAATCAGAGCTGGGAATTGTAGCTTTGCCTGAACACAGCCAATATGGAAAGAACCATCTAGTTGCCTTGCAGCATTACAAAAACAACTTCAGAAAGGGCACAAGGAGCAGAGAAGCCTGGAAAAGATACACATTATATCGATGCCTCTCCAGTGTCCTTCTAGTCCCCTCTGAGACCCTCCAGCTAGATGGGGGAAAGGTTTGCCTAATGGAAAATAGAGGGCAGGAGAATAGGGAAATGGACATTACCTCTATTGCTCTTCCCTGCATTGGGTGATCATAAGCCTTCACATTCAGGGGCCAATAACCATAGCATTACTCCCTAGCATATCATTGCAGGCAGAAAAGCTCTGGCATATCTCAGAGCGAGCGATTGTCTTCAGAGCTGTATATGTTTGTTGGAAATGGTGCTGCTTAGAGTGTTCTAGTGGAATCTCCCTGTAAGCATGAGGTAGAGCTCTGTGGTTTCTAAATCTTGATTAAACATGGTATTTTGTTGAAGCTTCTGCTGTAAACAAAATGGTGTTGTTCATTATTATTATTATTATTATTATTATTATTAGTTAATTGCATAATATACTTTACAGGGAATTGCATGTAAGTTTATTATAGGGCAACAAAATAAGGCAGCTGGAGTCAGTTTTCACTTGAGCTTTGTTTGCGCTGCCATTCTTCTTGCCTTCTGTTTTCCTGGCAAATGTTTTGTTACTTGCATCCTTTAATTAGTTCTGGGGAGAATTTTTGTATGAGGCTCTATATTTTCCTGATTTCCAATCTTTGAGTTGTGTTATTTAAAAACATTTTTGATCATTAGTGTCTTGTTTTGTCTAGATGATTCTGCAGAATTCAACTTGGTTAACAATGCTTTGCTAAGCATATTTAAGATGGATGCTAAAGGTAAGGGATGCTTTTTTATTTTGACATGTTTCATAGTCTGAATGCTATCTTTACACTGCTGGTATTTCTAAAATATATGAATGACTTTTGGTGGATATTAGGAGATACTAACTAGTATGAGTACTATTTTTATGATTGTAATAGTAATTATAATTTCTGAAGATGCTATAAATTCAATATTTGGAAACTGCTGCCACCAGAAGCTATGGTATTGGCCATCAGTGAGGGAAGCAGTTTTCTCTGCCACCTCTGACAGGCTGCCTTGTGATGGCTGAGAGTTCCTGGCTATTGTAATACCATTTTGAGGGAAAACCTCAAAATTTGCATTAGAATTGGATCCAATATTAGTGTTCATCCCTTTATTGATGTCACAATTACAATCGTTATTCAAGAATGCACTGCAGATCTGTTGGAATCAACTGGAGCTTCTTCACTAATGTGAAAGAAGGTTTTGTAATCCTTCAGAAAGCTGTTATCACAGTTTCCAGTAACCAACTCTGGGATAGGCAGGTGGTAGCCATGGGCATCAGTGTGCCCTCAGACACCTTTGGTGCCCACCAAGATGCCCTACTCCTTCTACTTACAAAAAATGACAGCTGAATACCATCTGAGGTTATTTGAGAGCAAAATGAGGGCCTCTAGCTGCTCTCATCTCTTCCTGTTAAAGCCTCTGGAGCACATAGAGGGTTTAGTGACATTCTTAGAAAATGAAAAAGGCAAGCTGTTGTAGGCTGATGTTGTCATCTATAATGCATCCATTTATGGTGGTGCTAAGGTCAGTTTCTCAAATCAGCAAAAAGATCCATGACCCTAGAAAAGTTGCCTATCCTGCTTTAACTTACACATGTGGGACTCTTACACATGTAACAAAAGTCATTTTGATTCCACTGTAAAGATATTAGTGTGTGATCTCTCTCCACTTCAGGAACATTGGGTGGTTTATTCAGCCAGATTCTTCAGGGAGAGGATATTGTGCGAGAAAGAGCCATTAAATTTCTGTCCACAAAACTGAAAACACTGCCTGAAGAGGTATTAACAAAAGAAGTAGAGGAACTCATACTGACAGAATCAAAGAAAGTGAGTACATTAATTTAGTTAAACTGTAACAAAAGTCTGGTGATTTGTTAAAGAATAAAACTTTACGCCTAAGTTTTCATACATGCATTAAAAGTCAGAAATGAAACAAAATGCAGAAAGAACAAACAGTGATAGTTATGGTATTAACACTATCCATTCATAAGAAAACCTTTGCTGGTGAAAGCACAGACTTCTTGGCATTGGTAAAATATCTACAATTATGAGAAACCTTTGGATGAAATTCATTATTGTGAAAGCAGACTTCTACTCATACAACAGGACTTTACCTCCCCCCACAAACACCCTCCAATATTTTGAGGATGTGTATGGCTTAATTAGATACCAAAGTTCTGATTAACTACAGGGGCTAATTGAATCTAATTAATTGCAAACTCATGGTTTCAAGTTTCACTTTCCCTTTAAAGTTCCTTTGTGCCAGGGTGACATAACAATATCCATTTTGGCTTTTATGACTCTTTACTGCATAATTTACTATCTGAAATTAACCTCCTTTATCAATATGGGGTCTGCCATGTTTTTTTTTCCTTTTGTTCTCAGCTATATACGGGGTTTGTTCCAATTAGTATTAGAGAGAGGCAGGCTTGAATAGTGGCTGGCTTTCATGTTTTCAGAGGGAGAACAGCCACTGAGCCTTTATGCTAAGTCTGTATAGCACTCCCTCCCCTTCCATCTTCAGACTGTGACAGATGGGGGGTGTTTCATCCTATTCAGCCTGATCTTTCTTTCTTCCTTTTCTCTATTTCCATTTGTGTTTCACACCCAGTTTGAAAGTTCTGGTAAATATGTTCATTATTTCCATGGTATTTTAGTTCTGGGATAGAGAATTTGTAGGCCATAGGCCACATCTAGTCCTATGTGATGTTAGAATGACTACAATCATTTCTATTTTCTCCTCTTCTTTATTTCTTTTAAGGTACTTGAGGATGTGACAGGTGAGGAGTTTGTCTTATTCATGAAGATACTGTCTGGCTTAAAAAGCCTGCAGACAGTGAGTGGACGGCAGCAGTTAGTTGAACTAGTGGCTGAACAAGCTGATCTCGAACAAACTTTCAATCCATCTGATCCTGATTGTGTGGACAGACTCTTGCAGTGCACCCGTCAAGCTGTCCCACTTTTCTCAGTAAGTGTGTTTATCAAAAACAGTGTTGTGTCTTTTGCATCAGTCTCGCACTGCAAAATGGCTATGCTGGACTGAATGTCCCTTAATGTAGATAATGTCTGAGTAAAACTGGAAGGCCATTGTGTTTGTAACTTAAATACATACATTCATTTATGTATGAAATTGTTCATCCTGTTTTAGCCCTTTAAGGGGCACCTAAAGAGGCTAACAATGAAGAAAACCACAATAAGATACAATTAAGCACAGAATAAATAGAACTAAAACACAGTCAAGCTCTATTGACATTGCTCTAGTGTTGGTTTCCACTAGTGTAACATCACTTTAGTATTCTAGGTGTGCACCAGAAATACCAGTTATTTTAAAGATTCCAAAGGGTAAATTAGTCTGTATTAGTTTAGATACCTCCTATTAATTTCTTCCAGCTTTTACCTCTACTTCCCTTTCAAGGATGGCACAGGAGTTCATGGCCTCCATGCAGCCATAGGTCTGTCCCAACTAATATTGGGCCCCACTCATTGAGCAGGCCATACTTTGGATCCATAATAGACCTTTTCAAGAAAGCACCCTGACTCCCAGTTGTGTTGGGATTCTGGACAGGCTTCAATGTACCATTCTTGGGCAAGGTAGTGGAGTATGTTGCAGCTTCTCGGCTCCTTGGATTTCTCATTGAGACAGATCATCCAGTTCTACTTTGGTCTGGCTTCAGGTCAGGTTATAGGACAGAAACTGCTTCAGTCACTGTGATTGGCAATCTGTGCAGAGTGTCTTTGGTTCTGCTGGACTTTTTGGAGGCTTTCAGTGACATTGGGCTGAATTTCTTGATGTGTTTGTCAGGCTGGGATGGCGTGCACTGTGTTAGAAGAAGCTCTGTTTCTTCTTGGAGAGGAGATGATGCTCAGGAACTCCTGTTCAACTTTATGGCCATCGGCCTGCAGTGTCCCTCACAGTTCCATCTTGCCCCCATGCTACTTGTATTCATAAAATCATTGGAAAAAGTTGCCTCATGTTTTAAGGGTTCAGTGCACCAGTATGCTGATAACTTGGGTCAATCTCTCCTTTTCATCTAAGTCCATGAAACCTGTTCTGTTTCTTTATCAGTGTCTAGAGTTGATAATGGGCTGGATGAGGGAAACAGTTTTATTCATTGAAAAGAAGTGTTCCTGCTTCATTGAAAGGGAGATCAGGAGTTTAACATGTGCTGGATGTAGTTACATTGCCCCTGAAGGGTTAGGTGTGCTCCTAGGTTAAACCCTGTACCAAGAGACAGTGATTTTGTAGTGGCCCAGGGTGTGTTTGCACTGCTGAGCCTAGTGTGCCAATTGGATCTGTCATTTGAGATGTCTGATCTGGTAGGGCCTTCTCAGTTGCTGCTTCAAGGTCTCTGTTGTTTTTCTGGCAGGCAAAGATATAGCCAGGCCTTTGACAGATAAGCTACTGAAAGTATTTTTTATTTGTGTAATTTCTGTATCACCCAACAGCCGAAGCTCATGATTTTGAATTTGATTGTGAATTTCAATTATTTTTAATTGTACTTCTAATTAAGTTTGGATTTTGATAGCTTCCTTAAATGATATTTTTTGGGATAAGTGTAGGATTTGTTTGTTTGTTTGTTTGTTTAGAACATTTCTATGCCACCCCCTTCGCAAAAAGCCTCGGGGCGGCTTACAAAATAAATAATCATATAATTAACCTTAAAAATCCGGAAACATCTCGGCACAAGCATAAAAACACAATAAGTACAATCAATGATTAACAATTAAAATAACTTTTAAATAAAAAGGTCTTGGCCTGGTGCCGAAAAACAAATAACGACGGCGCCAGGCAGACCTTTCTGGGGAGCACATTCCATAGGTGGGGCACCACCAAAGAGAACGCCCTCCTCCGGGTACTCACCCTCCTAATATCTTTCACGGAGGATGTAAATTAAATAAATACTCTTTGTGGCAAAACTAGCAAAACCTTTTGGCACTTTAACAACTAGCTAAATTTGTACAACATAGGTTTGCGTAGAGCAGAATCCACATAATCAAAACTGTTAATGGGAGAGGAAGATTATTCTGCTGTTAGAATAAAGAGTTTGGTTTTCAAAGATGACTATTCCTTGCACTGAGATTATGCTTTTCAAAACACTGAACAAGTTCAAATTTCTGTAAAATGAGGATTATTCTTGCCTTTTTAGTTATTTTGTGAAACTCAATTATCTTTTACCTGAGCTGAAAATGAAATAGTTTCCTTCAGGAACTTCTTTAATGAAAAGTCTTGGTCAAGGACTTCAGTAGCAGTAGTAGGTGGTTTCATAGCATTTGTAGAGTAAAACATCTGAAATGGGATTGACATTTGACTAGACTTTTTCCTGTTGTAGATCCCATCTTTTGTTTTATAATTGTTTTTTATCCAGGCTTAATGATTTTTGTATTTTATCTCTTTCAACCTTGACTGTTCTTGTTGAGTATAGTAGAAGTATTTCTGTAATTCAGTTTTACAGGTAAGTGTGAAAAATACTGTATCACCTCCACTCCAGAAAAATACCAGTCTGTCTAAATAATAAGCTACTTATTTAGGAAGTAGTATGTGTCCCAAGTGAGTGCTTAACTGCGAGCATATTGCATGTAACTGGCAATGCTGTTTGTTTGAGCTTCCTTCTATCTAAAAGCTTTGAAGATGTTTCTATCATGTGGAAAAATAAGCCCTGGCATTTTAGAAACTTATTGGTATTAAAATGTCTGATACTGATTCCTACTGAGTTGTTTAAAAAAATAGAATTGTGTAAAGCACGAGAGAATTTTGCAGTAATATCTGCTGTTTGATTTTCCACAGAAAAATGTTCACTCTACAAGATTTGTCACTTATTTTTGTGAACACGTGTTGCCAAATTTGAGTTCTCTGACCACCCCTGTTGAAGGCCTTGATATTCAGTTAGAGGTAAGCTAATCTGGAAATATACAATATAGCCTGCATTATATTTATTCATAATGTGTCAGGTATAAGCAATAATAAAACTATTGACCATTCTTGACCACTTTTGACCATTAATAAACCTGATTCAGAAGCCTTACACTGCTAAAGTTCTATAGATTTCTCTTTTTGTCATAAAGCTTGATACTATGCTGAACAGTCCTTTTCTTGAGTTTTTAGTCTAAAAATGGTCTTATTAAAGAGGCATAGCATGAAGTCAGAATTAATTTACATTAAGCACAATCTTTTCAAAATTTACAATTTTAAATCATTTTGACTCAACTGGCATTGTCATATTCATAGTCAAGCCAGTTATTTTTTCTTTTTCTGAGTTTGTTTTGTTTAAAATTATAATGGTATAACATTGCAACTTAAAATTTTCCACGGATTCTCTTCTTTTCAGGTACTGAAACTACTTGCTGAGATGAGTTCCTTCTGTGGAGACATGGAAAAACTAGAGTCAAATTTAAAGAAGCTTTTTGATAAATTACTGGTAATAAGAATTTTAGCCTTGGGGATATAGTAAAAGTTTTTAATTAAATTTCATTAGATTTCTGATAGTACTTGAAAAGTTAAATGCCGCAAGTTGAATTCCTCATGCAGTGGAGGAAACCCCCCGGTTGTAATACTACCCATGCTTTTCAGGATCATGTTATAGTAGCTAATTGATTACTGGGATGGTACACTGCTGTTTATGACATTTCATAGAAAGCCTATATAAAAGTGTTGACATTCTTTAAGTTTGAGTAACACAAAGCCTACAAGTTGCTTGATTGGCATCTTTGAGGTGATAAAAGGAAAGTCTTGATCAGTTTTTATATTAAAGAGCAATGATCCACATATTGTTGCCAGCCTTGATACCCAACCAATGGGTACTATCAGATCAGCCTTCCCCAACTGGCTTCTGGACTACAGCTCTCATCAACTATTAACAGCACAGCCAGTGGTCAGAGATAATGGGATCCAACAACATTCAGTGGGCAACAGGTTGGGAAAGACTGCACTAGTCAGTTGGAATTTGAATGCCTTTGAACACATTCAGAGTGGCTTCACCTTCCTGGGGCAGTTGCCAGGAAACGGTGGGAACTGGGGAATGGAAAAGGACTAAGCAGCAGAGGCAGAGATGCAAAGGAAAGCAGTAGGTGATAAAGTATGTTGAAGCATGAGTTCAGTTTAGGGAAGCAAAAGGGAAATGTAAGCTCATGCTTGCATTCAGTCTGTCAAAGGAATGAGATGGGGATAATGCTGGCAGTCAATTTTAAAAGATGAGCAAAATGCCGTGACTCTTGGCAGGAGATGGTGCTGTATTTCTGATAGCCAAAATAAGGTAACTCCATCATTAAAGGAATACATAATAGGGGAAATGTTACTTCAGCCAATATTTTTCATTGCAAATGTTGCATAAATACTCTGGTTTCTGTTTCTTAGGAGTATATGCCACTTCCTCCAGAAGAAGCAGAGAATGGGGAGAATGCTGGGAATGAAGAGCCCAAATTGCAGTTCAGCTATGTGGAATGTTTGTTATATAGCTTTCATCAACTGGGCCGAAAACTTCCAGACTTTCTGACTGCCAAGCTGAACACAGAGAAAGTGAAAGATTTTAAAATTAGGTAGAGTTTTTAAAACATTGAAATACTTACATGCCTGTTTCACCAGAATAACTGTAATGGAATCATGCTAGAAGTACAGATGTAGAATTATGCTGTTCTCTCCTGCAATGGATTATGGTACTTAACCGTAAGATTGATGGGGAAAAATTTAACTACATTACCCAAAAAGGTTCTTTAAACTTCAGACTGAAAATGCTAAAGATATTGGTCAACATAGATAGGGTTGTACTGTTAATCTTCTCTTCAGCATTAGGTTTTTTGGCCCTCTGAAATTTTCTCTTTAGGTTAATTGTAAAGTATTTGAGGATCAGCTTTCCCAAACTTGCAGCTGCCACTGAATGGATTGACTTTAACTTGCATATACTTGTGTTAGGATAAAAGTAGTAATTACGCAGGTTGTGAAATAAAATTTCTTCAGTTTCCTAACACACATTGAATATTAGCTACACAGTAGGCTTCCACCACAGAGTTAACTGCATGTGTATGTTCTACAGTGGATTAATTCAGAAATGAGCTACAATATAGGGCTCATGTATTTGACAGAATCCACTTCTGACTTCTCAAATCAAGTGCTACTTCAATTAATAGCAGCAGAAATTAAACCGAGGGTCACATAGTGAGCTTACTGTGATAACATGGTTGATTTCTGTTCTTGTCTGATTAGGCTAGGATTTAATTAAACTTTCTGACAATTTCTGGAGATAAAGTCTTGATATGTTTGCCCCATCACAGTTTCAAAATAAAAACTGAAAGTGCTCTCATAAATTGATAAATAAGCTTGGGGTTCCAAAGATGGTAAGAATATATAGAAAGACATTCTTGCAGTTTTCTCTGTGGCAAATACTATTCACCATTGAAGCCTGTGATGTTGGGATCCTAACAAACTATTGTTAACACCTGCATTAATGTTCCCTCTGCCCAAGCCCTTACTTTCTTTCCCCAGCCTAGAACTGAGCCCAGGCAATACTGAGTCTAGCCCACCACTAAAGGGGAACAGTGTGGAGAAACGTAATGGTATCTAGACTCCGCTGTCTGGTATGCTGCCCCAGTAAGCCCTCCCAAGTCCCACCAAAGAATGTTTTGCCCAAGATCTGAGAACTGGAGCAAACCCTGATCTTTCCCTGGAGCTGAACTGAAGTTTGAGACTGTCTTCCAGAGCTGATGCTGACACAGTGGAATTTCAGCTGGTTCTTGGTGGACAGGGGTAGAATAGTATGTGGTTACAAGATTATCTGTTAAGTATGTTTTACTATAAGGTTATATGTGACATTAAAATAACCTGAATAAATCTACTTCAGTATTAGTTCCTTCTTTTTAGGTCATATGCAACCTTGCTAATGCAGTTCCAGTTTGCTCAGTTTTCTCTTTGGTTGTGGAGAATTTGAAGTCAGTAGCCATCAGCCTTTTTATTCTATTCTGAACAGCTTCACTTTGGTTTTGCTAAATGTTATGTTGTTGCATAACTTCCAACTATCCTGTTTTGTTAGATTACAGTATTTTGCTCGAGGACTGCAGGTGTACATCCGACAGCTTCGCTTGGCACTTCAAGGCAAAACAGGAGAAGCATTAAAAACAGAAGAGGTATTTAACACTATATAGAAGTACTGTTTCAGCAAAATTTACATGGCTAAACAATGACTTAGGAAAACATGCATAAAGACTGACTGTGAGGATAGATGGACTGATCATGGGTCTCATGGGTTTCTCACTTGACTTCCCACTTTGGCAGCATTTACTTTCGTTTTTCCTGAATTTTGGTTAGTTGTGCCATTTAGATCAATGATTGTGATATAATAAACTAATCCAGCTTCACACATCAAGCTTTAAAATTGTTTTGTTCTGAAACAGATCGGAATTTGTTGTAAACTATGATACTTTGTGAGGAACCCAGGAAATAAATGCTGTCAGAGTAATCCTGGGCATGTGGGAAGGAGAACCTACAAGCCCGGAGTTCATCATTGGCTAGGTTTGAATGACATTGTGTGGCTCACTGTGGGTTACTAGTCATGGTGGTTGTCATATTGCTCAACTGTACAACTTGATGGGTTGTATGAAAGTTGATTAACATGATATGACAAACCTCAAGTGGGAGTGCCTATTCAACATGGAAGCCACACATTCCAGAGCACCCCCATGAATTCAACAATGCATGATGGGCTGTTGTGTCATGCAAACCACCCAATGTTGCCTTCCTTTTCAAGCATGTCTCACTAAACCATGGCTCACCATTATGTATAAATCAGCCGAGAGTGACTCCTTTATCATAATTATCTGATGTATAAGCTTAGTGGATTATGACTTCAGTGGCTCCATTTCTTCTTATGGAAAAGGTTTTTCATGGTTCCACTGTGCCCTCTGAAAATCTGCTTTTCGTGGTTGGGGGATACCTTGGGAGCAGTATAGGGTTCAGTACTGGGTTGAGGGGCTGCACAAAAGTCCTTTTCTGTGTCATTTCATGGGCAGAAATAGTTTTTAACTCATGCAGGCACCATTGAATTCATGTTAGTAATTAGATCCCAAGTTAGATGAATATAATTTCTATAATATTATCTCACAGGCAAAATGAGGGAGGTTCTCTTTCCCTTTCAACTGCCTCTGCTCCCCAAAAATCTGTTTGGAACACTGAGCAGGGGTCAAAATTCCTCTTGGGAAACAATGTTTGCTTATTTAGCTTCAGTGTTATTATTTCTTTCTAAAGTCTTAAATGTCGACCTCCAAGTAGTTCTGTTGCAGTGCTTTAAAAACAACCTGTGTTCTTTTTGCAGAACAAAATTAAAGTCGTGGCATTGAAAATCACAAATAACATTAATGTTTTAATCAAGGTAAGCAGTTCTGGTTTTGATTATACAGTTAGAGAATGGCACTATTCCTAAAACAGAACAAGCCAAACTACCCTGAGATCATCAGTAAGCCCTTTTTGCTTGATTACCACTGAGGGCTGCTCAGTTAGGGAAAGAGCCTTTTTAGTAGTAGCCCTATCACCTCTGGAATTAATCTTTGGGGGGGGATGGGATGCTAGTTTTATGTATAATCCCAGTTTTATCGAATTGCATTGTTCTGTATTTGTTTGATCTTGCATGCCACTTTGGGGAGGATTAAAAGGTGGCCTAAAATATTTTATTAAATAATAAAATGCGATTTCATGAACAGTTAAACACAGGAATTTTTTTCCTGTAGGCTGTAGATTGTAAGTAGGAGTAGGCAACAGAGGGAAAAGATACTGAATTATTTGTTTTACATTAGTTTTTCCAGAAAAAAAGTCTTTTTCATGAACCAGGAAACTTGATTTCAGGGAACGTAAGAAAAATGAAGGGTGCAATTCAGTGATGCTTCCCAGAACTCCAAACTCAGAAGGTGGTGGGCATCCAGTCTCTGCACTCCTTCTGCCATGTTGTCCTAAGTGTGGTGCCTCAGAGCAGGAGAGAGAGCTACAGTGCTACCATGTATGGCCCTCCCCACCCCCAAAAGCCTATGTCTGAGGTCTTTTTTGGGATCTTGGAGCCACAGCTGGAGGATTTCATTCTTTTAAAAAAATGGAACTAGGGCTAGGGAGAGAGCACACCAAGTTCAGGGCCACAGCTGCAACCTTGGAGCAGGTTTCCAAGATTAGAGGTGGGACTCTGAATTTGCCTATGGCCATCTGGACTCTGTAACAGCAATACAATTGTACTGTAAGTGTGTTTTGCAAACATATAAAATCTTTCTGGAGTGGATTTAATTTGAGAAAAATATATTCCCCCCCCCCCAGGATCTCTTCCACATTCCCCCTTCATACAAGAGCACAGTTACACTGTCTTGGAAACCTGTACAGAAGTCTGAAGTTGGGTAAGTTATCTGTGAAGGTTTGTGAAGTATTCCTATGATCTTCTCTTTGTACAGTTTTGGCGGTCTTATTTAAAATAATGTTGGATTTTGTTTTTACATGTAACTATATAAGTATATGTTAAAAATATTAAGGTGAAGTGAATTTACCGTGGTTCAAACCTTGGAAGTATAAATGGGTTGGTCCAACAGATTGGGAGAAGTAAAATAGAGGATATATTTTATAAAAGCTCTCTCGGTACACACCACTGACAACAGCACACAACATTTAAAACAAAAAATGATAAAACACAGTAGCATTGTATTTGTTTATAAGAATGTAGTGGTTTGGTATGGATTGAATCTGGAGAGACCCATAAATGCAGTGTTTCCACATGTGTGCAGGAAAAATATGTGGGGGAAGGGTTGTTCCCTGTGAAGCTTTGCTCCAGAGAGGCCCTGACCTTTAGGGAGCTACCACCAGAAGGAGAGAAGAATAAAAAAATCACTCAGGCAATTTTGACAGAAACCACTTAATGAGGTTCTTCAGCCATCTGCAGGGGCATTGCAGGGGACCATACAGAGGCACAGGGGAAGAGAAAGATCAATTGCATAAGCTGTTTTTTGTTCACACAAGAGTTACCTACAAGGCTTGATTTGCAGTTTGCTAAACTAATTTTGTATATAGTAGTCTTGACTTTTGCAGTGCTGCACATATCTTGCATTATTAATATTTGACTCTTTATTTGTTTTGGGATTCTACAATATGATGATTTTGTCTTCTGAAAAAAGACAAAAAAGAGCCAGTGAAGATGCAACTTCAGATTTGCCAGCAAAGAAGGCTCCTGCAGGACCAAAAAGGGACGCCAGGCAGATTTACAATCCACCTAGTGGGAAATACAGTAGCAACTTGGGCAACTTTTCTTATGGTGAGTGTTGTAAGAGGTTTTGCTGCTCAGGGCAGCAGGCTGGAGAATCTTAAATATAATCCTGTCTTGTGTTGCAATACGAGTGACCAGTTTCTATGCTTCCAATATTTTCAGAGCATAGAATCAGTTTGTGATTTTTATTTCTGTGTCTAGCTATTTCTTCAGGATATAATCCAGTATGACTTTGCTTTAAATGTTGAATACTGTCTAGTACAAAATAATTCCATTTGGTCAAATTAGTATTTTCCTGCACAAAATAGTTTAGGGTTATGAAGTAATATTCTTGTTTCATATTCAATTTAGATTGCTTGGGAAGCAGACAAGCTCTTTATCAAATATGTATCACTCAATTAGCAGATGCTATCGTGACAGTTACACTTATCTCTCATCTATTTAACATAGAAGTTAAAATATACAAGGGAACAAATAGGCTCTAAAATATTATTTATTTATTGGAATTTGTTTGAAAGTCGCCCATTAGCATCATGCTCTCTGGGCAGCATGTCATAGTAAAAACCTTGAATTGGGCCTGGATTAGAACAGCAGCCTGTGCAGCCAGCAACGGACAGGTGTAACATGTTCATAAGAACTGGTGCTCTTCAGCACTTGTGCCATCCTTTTCTGGTTCATTTGAAAAGTCCAGACCATCTTCAAGGGAAGTCTCACATATAGTGCATTATAGTCGAGGTTACCGTTGTATGAATGACCGTGACAAGGCTACCCTCACCCAAGTAGGAGCATAGTTGGTAAATCAGCTGAAGCTAATAAAAGCTGCTCCTGGCAACTGAGTCCACCTGAGCAAGCAAGATCGCTTGGGGTCCAGGAGCACTCCCAAACTATCAACCTTCCAGACACATTTGGACTGCAACATCCAGAATTTCCAGTCAATGGCCCTGCTGGATAGGAATTCTGGGAGTTGCAGTTCAAATGCCTTGAAAGGCCACCAGGTCAGAGACTGCTGCTTTGGGACTGTGCAGCCCTGTCCAGGACAGGTTTACAGTCTCCCAATCAAAATGGAGATTTAGACTTCACAAGTCAGAACTGACATGCTCAGCACAATAATTTAAGGGGTAATATATACATATATACAGTATGTATGTTCACTGTGTGCATTACAGTGATGACGATAAAGTCTTTGAAATGATAAAACTAGATTAGGTAACAGTTAACATATGTAGATTACTAGTTTTACTGCATAGTGAAGGTAACGCAGGGGAGCACGCTAAATATTTCACAGTTTGTCTTGGGTTTGTTGTTATTTTTATTTTACAGGGTAACTTTGAGAGACAAGCATGGTTCAAGGTATATTTAAAAACAGATTCCCATTGTCAGATTACTTCGTGCCATTTTTAACCAGGGACATCATCATGTGGACCAGCACTCAGACAAACTGGGCTATATGTGCTGGGAGCCAGCCTGGTTCTTGCTAGATGAGTTCTGCAGATTTGTACAGAATGGAAGAATTTGGGGTTGTGAAGCAGTGCTGTCAGGCCTATTGGATTGTATTAGACATTTAGAGTAACTGCTGCTTTAAACAAGTCATGCACTAGATCTGAATTAGGAACTAACCTCTTTTATTTCCTTTTATTTCAGAACAGAGGGGGGGTTTCCGTGGTGGACGAGGAAGAGGATGGGGTGGACGTGGTAATCGCAGTCGTGGAAGAATCTACTGAACCCAGTGGCATGTTCCAAAGCCATTATGCTAAAACATCATTAAAGTTTGAAGGATTGCCTGGAAGGTTGCATTGTTTAAAGGACTGCCTTCTCCGAAAGACTGATTTAAATGTTCTTATATCTTTGTATGTATGATCTACTTTTCTAATGGACTACAAACTCACCCACAGTGAAGCTACAACTGTATTTTTGGATGTTTAATAGCTGTCATTTTGAGTTTGTGTTTTTTTTTAAACATCCAGAATTTTTTTCAGGAAAAAGCATGGGTGTTCCAGCTGAAGCTGCTTCCAGATTTTACATTCAGCTATAAATATGGCTAATACAAAGTGGACAGTGTATAATAATTGAATTCTAGATAATGGATGGAAGTGTCATAACTGAAGTTGAAATCAGTAACCTTTCTCCAGACAAAACCTTATTTTTTACAATAAGTGGGGAAGAGTTGGGAGGGGAAGTAGTATAGGCTGTTAATGGTGGCATTGACTGTTGACAGAAATCCTTGAATTTTAAAGTATGCAACATAGATACAGAAGAATCTACTGTTCACATAAACCAGGCCGTTCACTTGTATGGAGAACTTGCTGTTAACTTCTGCATCACAGTTCACTCTTCTCCATATATTGTAACATAATGTGTTTTTTGCAAATGGATTTTAATGTCTTCTATAAATATGTGTGTGTCCGTATACACACACACACACAATCACACACACACATAAATGCATACGTGTGTGCCATAAAATTCTAATAAAAACCTTCTAGAAATGTAACCCCAGAATGGCAAATTTGTGAGGCTATGACAGTTCATCAGAGATCCAAAGTAGACAATAATATCCAGACTTTCCCATTAGTTTAGTCTTTAGCAGAAACCTTTCATTTTTATTCAGTTAAATCTGTGTTTAAAAATATCAAGCATGGCATCATACACTTAAAATTACAGCTGTTCAGTTGCACTTGAGTAAAAACTTCAATCTCTTTGTAATACTTAAGTAATTGTAAGAACCTTATTGTAATGATAAGCTTCACAGAAAGTTTATTTAAACAAAACGATGTTTCAAACTTGATTTTTCGTTCAGTTTGGCATTAAAACCATTTCTTTTGTCTTTTTTTTTAAGAACAAGCATTGTAAAATATCTAGCTCAGCAACAGAGCTGAAATAGGAAAAACCCTATCACAGAGCAATCCTATGGCCCATAGACTATCTGAGGCAGCATAGGATATTTCAAACTCCCAGATCTGAGGTTAGAGACTGCACTTAGGCTTTGGACCTGGGATCAGAACACCCCCCCCCCCTTCTGCTCTATGAGGAGGGAGGGAGAAGGGGCATTGGCATGGAGGGAAGCAGACTGAGTAGGCCAGGATATGAAGTATCCTGTGGTGTCTTCAGCCTTCTTTCCTTCTTATGCTCATCTGCATAGGATTGTACTATAAAATACCAGGTTTCAAGCTTTATTTAAAACCAATTAAATTTCTTTTCCTTGGCCTCATTTTCTACATCTGATTGTCCATACTGGAAACCATATTTTGGTATGTAAGGTATTTCCAAGAAACTTATAATGTGTTGATGAGGATTAGCTTATAAACTGGACAAAGAGGTTATCTTAGATGGCAGTGTTTTGTTTCCTACAGTAAGCACAAGCTTTTCTGTAAAATAGGTCTTCATGGAAAGAAATGGTTCAAGTTAAATTAAAGGTCAGATCTGTATTTGCTTGTACTAATCTTTATGGAAAGGTGATTTTAAAATTTCCATAGTTGAAATGATTTAAAGATAAAATTCTAATAAAGCAAATCGTCTGCATCTCCCATTAAGCTATTGCCCTTCACACCAGTCAGTTCAAATTACAAACTGATAGTTGATCAAAATGGAATTTGATTTTTTTTAATAATTCAGTGGTTTAAACAGAATATCACATAAGCAGGCTTTGCCTTATTCTCCCTGTAGCTCCCAGCCTCCCAGTACTGCTCTGGAGAGCCCACCAGAGATGTGTAGGGTGTGCAAAAAGCTGGGGAAGGGAAATAGAGGCTAGCAGTTTCTGTCCTACTAGCTAACAGTTTGGATTGGATACAACGCAATAGTATTGCTTCTTTTGACTATTATGACAATTAGTTTTTCTTAAGAATGTCAAAGCCTGATTTTTAAGGAAGTTTTAATCACTGTGCTCCAGTAGCTGGGGGAGGGGGGAGTGAGTCCCTTAAGTAACAAGCTGTCTTCATATATTTCTACCCAGAAATAATGTGCAGATTGTCCTTAGAAATAGGTGACTTTCATATTGTGTTGCATATGCAGTGAATTATTTTGGAGACACCCACTAACCACTTAATTTTATTTGTAATGTTTCCTTTATGCCTTTGCAATAAATCCATTTTGTAATTTTGTTAGTGACTTGTGATTGGTTTTATTTTAAGAATGCCACCTTGATAAAAACACACTAGACTAGTACATAATATATGGATTTAAGGGATAATGAAACTCAGTAAGAACACAAGCCCATGTGTGTTTGGTTAGAAAAAAGGCTGGCATGCACCCTAACCTGTAGTATACCCATGTTGTGATATAGTTTTGTTGTTGTTGTTAGTCGCAAACTTGTGTCCAACCCATTGTGACCCCATGGACAACATTCCTCCAGGCCTTCCTGTCCTCCACCATCCCCCAGAGTTCACTTAAGCTCACGCCGACTGCTTCAGTGACTCCATCTAGCCACCTCATCCTCTGCCATCCCCTTCTTCTTTTGCCCTCAATTGTTCCCAGCATTAGGCTCTTCTCCAGTGAGTCCTTCCTTCTCATTAGGTGGCCAAAGTATTTGAGTTTCAGCTTCAGGATCTGGCCTTCTAAAGAGCAGTCAGGGTTGATCTCCTTTAAGATTGACTGGTTTGATTGCCTTGTGGTCTAAGGGACTCGCAGGAGTCTCCTCCAGCACCACAATTCAAAGGCCTCAATTCTTTGGCGCTCAGCCTTTATGGTCCAACTTTCACAGCCATACATTGCAACTGGGAAAATCATAGCCTTGACTATACACACTTTTGTTGGCAGGGTGATGTCTCTGCTTTTTAGTATGCTGTTTAGATTTGCCATAACTTTCCTCCCCAGGAGCGTCTTTTAATTTCTTGGCTGCAGTCCCCATCTGCAGTGATCTTGGAGCCCAGGAAAATAAAATCTGTCACTACCTCCATTTCTTCCCCATCTATTTGCCAGGAAGTGATAGGACCGGATTCCATGATCTTAGTTTTCTTAATGTTGAGTTTCAAGCCAACCATTAATGTTAAAAATATGTGTTCACCTACAAGTGGTAGTTGGGTATTGGTATTTTCACACTTGGCTCAATGGATAATGCTAGGGATAAGGGCAAGAAACAGTAATAATTAAAGAATGCATAGCATCAAGACTTTCATGGATCAGACATTTTAGAGTGCTTTCATTCATAGGGCCATGATAAATTGGAGATAACAGTATATAACATATTTGGGTCTGCACATGCCAGGTCTAGATTTGATTGGAGAACATACAATTACCTTTTGTTTTGCGAGAATTTGGTACCATAATACCAGAATCAGTATCATACCAAATCAGACCCTGGGTTCATTTAGAATTTGCTATAGTATAGGCTCTGTACCTACTGGCAGTGGTTCTTTTCCAGCCCTATCTCTGGATTCCAGTGATAAAATCTGGTACGTTTGACATGTTTATTAAAATGAGCTAGGGAAACAATATCAACAAGCAAAACCACTTTATAAGATGCTTTTATTATCTGGCCATTTACCCTGTTCTGCAGCTATAACTACTCCCCCAAAGAAGAACCATTCCCTATTTAATTGCAGTGGCTTCTGTAAACTGAATGGCTGTGGATATTCCTAAATTCTATAAAATATTCCTAAATAATAATTTGAAAAATTATTAGGATACTCCCAAGCTCTTTTTGGCGGTATTAACTGTTTTTGTCTCATTGGGAATACTGTAAGAGTGTGCAAGAGCTCACATTATACTTCATATCTACAAGATATGCAAGTGTATTGGACAATGCTCATTCCTCCTCACATGTTTTCCAGACTAAGTTTGTAAGTTCTGTGGAAGCAGGGACCTATTTGCAATTGCTACGTATGTTAATGGCACTATATGATAATGTGCATCTAACTTACTGGGGCATATGTAAAAGATACTTGATTCCTGATGAGTAAGAACATACAGAACATATATGACAAGCTTACCACTTCAATTCCATTAGACTTAATGATCTAATGTTTATCTGATGTTAAGCAAGGATAACAGCACTGTTTTTCCAATAGCATTTTCTCACTTCATGTCTCTGTGTCACATTTTGGTAATTCTTGCAATATTTCAAGTTGTAAATGCAAAGGAAATGTTCTTGAAGGAAATTAAAAGTGCTACCCCAGTGAGCACATGAATGATAAGAAAGCAAGTTATCCAGAAAATCTAGCTAAGTGATGAAGGTGGCTACACCAAACAACAGATTTCCAATGCTGACATAACAGCCTTATATTGGAAGAAGAGGCTATCTAGAACTTTCAAAGTTAGAGAGAAGTCATGCCTGGTTTCAAAGAGCAAGCTGACTCATTAGGAGCTAAAGCAGCTGGTGACTTAAAGCTGAAGTCAATGCTCTTTTACCATTCTGAAAATCCCAGGGCCCTGAAGAATATGCCAGCTCTACTCTGCTGTGCTCTATTAATGGAACAAACCCTGGATGATAGCATATCTGTTTATAACATGGTTTACCGAATATTTTAAGCCCACTGTTGAGACTCAGGAAGATTCCTTTCAAAATATTACTGCTCATTGACAATGCATCTGGTCACCAACGAGCTCTGACAGAAATGTACAATAGGATTGTTTTCATGCCAACGAACATTCTGCAGCCAATGGATCATGGAGTAATTTCAACTTTCAAGTCTCATTAAGAGATACATTGCATAAGGCTATAGCTGCCATAGGTAGCGATTCCTCTGATGGATCTGGGGAAAGAAAATTGAAAACCTTCGGAAAAGGATTAACCATTCTAGATGCCATTAAGAACATTCATGATTCATGGGAAGAGGTCAAAATATCAACATTAACAAGAGTTTGGAAGACATTGATTCCAGTCCTCATGAATGATTTTGAGGAGTGCGAGACTTCAGCTGTGCAAGTAACTGCAGATGTGGTGGAAATAGGAAGAGAACTACAATTAACAATGCGCCACTCTGTTCTGTGTGTATGTACAACGGACCGCAGGGGGAACCAAGCAATTTCCCGCCCGTAGACCCAGCTGAGCACATGCTCTCTTGCTGCGCAAGTCAAATCGAGCGCTGCTCCCAACCGCCCGCCGGTGCGAGCAGCTGGAAGCTTCGGATTGGCTGCTACCTGCACGTGAGTGGGCGGAGTGTAAGCAAGCCCACGCCTTCTCTCGCCACTAAGCCCGCCCGCCTCCTTTTCGGGCAACTTTCATCCCTTTTGCCACATTCTTTCTCCAGCTGCGCAAAACCCTTTATCGTCACTTCCGATCCTAAAGGGAGCTGCTTTCCCTCTGTTTACAGAGTTATTCACAGAGATCCGATAGTGCTCTCATCGATATATCATTCTATTATTTCCTTGACTGAAGGCCATGTGTGACTCTGAGCTTTTCCTACCTCTAGGTGTATTTCAGACGTAGGCACATACTTCCTTCTCCAAGATGGCGGTATAGGCAGTTCCGCTTCCAGGTGACGCGAGCGGGCCGGGCTTGAGGAAGATGGCGGTAGCGGCAGGAGTGTCCGGGTGGGGTGGCCGAGGGGTGGCACGCGCCTCCCTGCGCTGGGCGCTCGGCCTCTTCTTGCTGCTAGGCTCGGCGCCTCAGCCGGGTGCCGCCACCACTCACTGGGTGGTCACCGAAGATGGCAAGATTCAGCAGCAGGTGAGGAGCTACTCCCCTTGTCGTGGAAATCCTTCCCCCCGCCCCGATTATTTTCTCTCGCTGCTTGGAGTCCTCTGGGTAGGGAAAGAGCCTCTTGACGTATTCCCAAAGTCTGAACTGCAGCCTTGTCATCTCCGGTCGGATGCTTCGTTTCTATCTAGAGGAGTTGTCAGTGGTGCTCACGCCTTTGCTGTTTCCTGCCTTAAGTCTCCTTTCTGTGCCTTAAGATCTGCATTTCTGTTTTGGCCTCAGTAGAGCCGCAAGGAGGCTTGTAGCACTTGCGTACTGATACATTTCTTCTGAGCATAATCTTTTGTGGCCGCTTAATCAGATGCATCAATAAAGCTGTATTTCTGTTGTTGTTTGGTGGGTATTTCTATAATAATAAGGGCTCTGCTATATCAGACCAAAATGTTGGCTGCTCCAGTAGCCTTAAAAGGTAGCCAGCAGGACATTACTGGGAAGCACATGAACAAGGAATAAAGTCAGCAGTGCCTCCCTGTTGCCTACAAGGATCTAGGCATCTAGTCTTCAGAGGTATACTTCCTCTAAACATAAAAATCTCTTTAGTTTTGGCATGCGGATGTTGACAGGTCTAAGAGTTCACTGTTCTTGGTTTTACACTGTTAGCAACTGTTTATGACCAATCCACATCCATTGTGTCTGAATTCTTTAAAGTACCAGTTTTTGCAAGAATCTGTACTTGTATTTCTCCCAGATCTAATAAGCACATTTTGTTTATTTCAATAAATTTCACTGGGTGACCCAAAGAGTTAGTATTATGTGACTTTCTCCATGTAAGCTGTAAGTATCAACGTTTGTCAACTTTTCAGAATTAAAACACCACAAACTTTGAAGCTTTTCCCTATTGAAATGCTGCAGTCCTGTAATCATTTAGGATGCTTCTGTCAGATATTCTAATGTGCATCACTTTGCACCTGCATTTGCCCTTCTGTTGTCCCTTAACTCAGTTCAGAATACTCCTTTGGAGTTTCTTGGCTTTCATGTGTAAATCCAGTTACCTCATTTAACCCCATTTCTACATTAGTTTAAAATGTTCAGTGATGGTTCTTCCAGGACAGAGGCTTGGGACAACTGCTGCTTGCTCAGCAAGATATAAACATATTTAATATCCTTACCCTATGCTGCTTGTTCTTTACCCAGTGATTCATAAGAGAACCATGTCAGATGTTTACTTAAGAGCTGTAAAAAGATTTTTGGAGGCCTCAAGTATAAAGCCTGTACTGAATTTCTTTTGTCTTATATGCTTGTTGACACTTAAGATTATAAGAATATAGGAAGAGACATGGACTTTCTTGGTCCCGCATTTTGTTACACAGTGACCAACCACATGCCTATAGGATTGAATATAAAGCAAATCTTAGCAAGCGCCATAGTAGTTCATGCATGGTATTTAAATAATGATTTCTACTTAGGACAGTAGGGCATGAAAAGTGTGTAATTTCTCAGATCCTCTTCAATTCATTTATTAACTAGCTTGATTTTGTAGGCTGCACTGTTAGTTTCACCTTTGCTCCCTTCATTAAGCTTGCTGTCCTCCTGTCTTTGTGTAAGTATAGGAATGTATTGGCAGAGACTTAAAGGTACAAAGTCCCATTTTGCTGTAGATTGGAGGCATCACTACTATTGGTCTGTTGCCTCTTATGATTGCACTGCAGTAGGTTGAATTGATTGAAATCAAGTTTCCCACTGCTACTACTTCAAATATGAAACATTTGTGCAGATTTCACAAGTAAACCATGTTAACCACTACTGCACAGATTATTTAGTGTGGTTTCCTTCTATCAACAGCCCTTGCATCTATGTGTTGCATGTAGAAGGGATATATTTGAAATACTCCTATGTGGGATTTATCTTATGACCTTAACAGTTTGTGAGATTAAATATGAGAATATAGAAGCAGCTGCACCAGACATGTGTTGTCTTTCCAGTGTTGATTCTTTTTGTTTCTTTCTGCCTGGAACCATCCTCACCATTACAAAAATCAAATAGCAAAAAAATGAAATGCCTGTGACTGGAGTAGAGTAGAATATTTTTATTTTCATAAGATGGAAAGAAAATAACTGGTAGGTAAAATATCTTTTCACATTTGCAAAGTTATCAGACTGGTTCTTCAGTTATGCAGAAAAGTTATTTAACTCAAGTCGTTGATTAACTTTAAAACCAACATGCTGCTATTGAGAGAGCATTTGATGGTAACCATTTTCTTTAACAAACCTAAAAAATAAATGTGATAGTTTGATCGTAGTTTTTTTAAATAATAGATTTTTATCCACCCTGCACTAGAGAGATTGATTGTGAGGAGCACTGTGAGGTGGTACAACCCACCAGGTTGGGACTTTTAAAGTTTTCCCAGTATTGATCATTTATTGAGAAAGATTGCCTGTTCACTAAGCAACAAGATATAGGAGGTGATATTCATATATAATTGTACTAAGCAGGCACAGGTAATATAGCACAGAAAAAGAATGCCATAGCAGCATGTTTTCTTTTTGTCTCTCTTGACAGTGCCTGAAAGCTTTTCTGCTGCCATTGGAGTGTTTAACTAATGTTGAGTCATAAGAAGTATTCTTTTACGAATGTGTTGATTATATGATAGTCTGGTGTCATAGACCTTCCTGTTGTTCAGTTTTCTAAATCCTGTATTTGTTGTTAACAGTGTTTTTCATTCCCTTTTACCTTCTCTCCTGCTTTTTATGCTTGCTTAATATAGCACCCTGTCAATCATACGTCTTGCAAATGCATTAATTTTCCTGTAACAACAAACATCAGTGATATTCTCTACGAAGCACATTGAATGTGCCTTGCACCAGTATTTCTTACTCTTCTAATATGACTTCTTTATATGGTACAAAGTCTGAGGGTTGTAGAAGTTCTTTGCCATGTTTTTCTGTTGGGTCTAATTCAGTTGTACAAATTGTTGTAAATCACTCAGAATTTTAGCTATTGGACAGTGTATAAATTAAGTGAATGATAATAACAGCACTGCAGTAATGTGCATAGGATTACAACCTTTATCTCTTGGTTATGTTATAATTGCAACCCTGTATGAATGCTAATCGTACTTCTGTAAACTAACTATAATTGGAAATGTACTGAAGCCTGTTGGTATGTGGCAATCTGAAAATTGCAGGTCATTTTCTGTTATATATGCAGTTGTAATTTTGCAGTTACACTTCATAGTTGTCTACAGTCTATTGCTGCGTATCATAAACTTTCCTGATATCCAGTTAGAATTATGATTGAATTGAGTATTTCTGCAATATTTTGAAAAAGAATCCTATTACCTAGCTTGCAGCCTGATACCATGTGTTTGTATTCAAATTTGATGGCTTGAATATAACACACAAATAAATTCATTACTGGCTACCAAGTAGTTCTCCCTCTCATTTGAAAAAAATGATTATTGATTTTTGAAAGTTAAAGCAAAATAGAAATAAAAATGAATGAACGCTCATGTTAATATAGTTGAATGCATTTTATTTCTGTGGAAAGTGTATTTGATTTATACTGTACTGGATTTTAATTACACTGTAGTAATGTCTTGATTTACTCAGCTTTTTGCACTGAAGTTTATTTTTAAAGCTATCAATACAGAGAATGGTATGTATACTCTAAGTCAGGCAAGGTAAGCTGGGATAGCATTTACTGTTCTCATTGGATATCTGGATTCTGCAGCAATTTTAGTTTTTAATGTGAAGCTTAATCTTTCTGTAGTATAAATAACATTGTATTTAGAGAGCATTGTTCACACCATTGTGTGAACAAAAGACATTGGATCTGTGTTGATCCATGTGGCTCAGTATTACAGTGAGTGCCAGTGGCTCTCCACAGTTTTAGGCAGAAAACCTCCCAGCCTTACCTGAAGATGCTAGGGATCTGGAACTTTCTGTATGCAGAGCATGTGCTTTACCATTGAGTTACACAGTTAAGGGAATAAAAGAAAGCGGTTCACATAATTGGCCCCTTTCTTCCTTGCACCAACTCCAAGTAGGAGTTGCCACTGGTACAGGATCTCTCCCCCCAATTTCAGATAGTTGCTTCTTCTCCCCAACCAATTTCAGATAGTTGCCTCACCACAGTCTTCATGAGCTCCTCACCCATGGCCCTCATCATTCTGCTCATATTTCCTAAAAAGAAGAGACAGGTTCGTCCAAAGAAAATGGAACATGCAGTGCAACTTTGCTTTCTCTTTTGCAACAGGTTTTGTTATGGAAATTAGTAGTTCTTAAAACTTTCCTTCAGCAGTGGGAAGGTGGTGATAAAAGCAGAAAACAGGATCTGCCTGTGTTTGGTTTCACGCTTTAACAAATATTCATGCTGCTTCTTTGGAATCCACCAATAATTGGAAACTGCCCTGAGCCAGCACCTCAAAGAACAAGCTCATTTTGTCCAAATCAGGAAAGTTAGGGGTGGGTACAGGAGGCCAGCGTCCTCTGAAATTTGATCTGAGCATATGTAGAAAATGCACATGTTAGGATTTCCTATCTGCATCTAATAGGTAACTTTAGTGACCTTATTTGAATAAGAACTCTAGATAGTTCAAATAAGAACTATCTAGAAACATAACATCTGCCCTAAAGTTGGAGTGCATTGAGAAGTGCATTGATTCAACACTTAAAAACAAAGGGGATCACCTTGTGAAAGAGATGTACTCCTTTGGGTGCATTTCCCTTTGCAGTTTTTCCCCCATTTGATAATGTGTTCCACTTGAGAACTAGCCACTGACAATGCTCAGTAGCTTCTATGCCGTCTGACCTCATTACATTTATTGTAAGCCGTCCCGAGATGTTTTGTGGGGGGCAGGATAGAAAAGCTTTTAATAAACAAATAAATAAATATTGTTTGATAGCAATATTTGACAAGGCGGTAAATCAGGGAAGACTGTATGGATCATATCTAAAAGGTGAAGGAGTACATTTGGACAACTCTGAAAGACCAGCAATGCAAATTAAAAAAGACTGTAGTATACATTTCTGGCACCATTTTTTTAAAAATAGCAAATCTGCAATGATTTGTCCAGAAAGCTGGTGGGACATCAGTGAAAAAGCTGCAGTTGACTTGCACTGGTGGCAGCATGAGTGAAATTGGCATCAATGGCTTGCCACCTCCTAAAACCCACAATGCGATTGTTCTCCTTGGTTCAGGGGACATGACAACCCATTGTGGGTTGAGCAAACCCCACAACAAGCCATGGGTTGTCCAGATGACTTGTAGCTATGAACAAGTCACCTTATGAGAAGCAGTCCAGGTTCACATGACAGCCCACTCACTGTATTTTGTTCAGTCAGTGCCACCATGTGCAGCAGAACAACATTGAAGGTTACCATTCCTGGATTTCTTTTTTAAAGAAAAGGTTTAGGTTTGTGTGTGGTTTTTAATAAAAGTCTCAGTTTTTCCTTAGTTAAGCAAAGGTATTAGACAAGGGTATAGTATATTTTATCTCCCTAGCTATTCAGTCTGTATGCTGAACATATAATGAAAGCAGAATTAGAGTCAGAGGAAGGAGTGAAAATTGGTAGAAGAAAAACAGAACATGCCATCTTACGGGCAGAAAGCAGCAATGAATTGAATTGGTTCCAGATGAAAATGAAAGAAGAAATTGCAAAAGTAGGAATGCAGCTGACCATTAAGAAAATACAAACCATGACTGCAGAAGAATTGCAAAACTTTACTGCCAACAGTAATGAAATTGAAAATGCTCAGTATTTTGTATACTTTGGCCCAGTCATCAATCAAAGGGATGATTGCAGACAAGAAATTAGAAGACCAAGACTGTGAAGGGCATCAGTGAAGGAACAGGTCATCAAGTGAAATGATGTTTTATTTGAGACCAAGATCATACACATTATTGTATTTCCTATAACTGTGTATGGGTGTAAAAGCTGGACAGTGATGAAAGCTTACAGGAAGAAAATGGATGCATTCAAAACATGGTCTGCAGAAAAGCTTTGCAAATAGCCTGGATGAGCACACAAACAAGTAGGTCCTGGAGCAATTCAAGCCAGAACTTTCCTGGAGGCAAAAAATGAATAAACTGATGTGATCATATTTTGGGCACATCATGAGAAAGCGAGACTCACTGGAGAAGAGAATCATGCTAGGGAATGTCAAAGATAGAAGAAGAGAGACCAAATATTAGATGGTTCGTCTCCATCTTCTCTAAAGGAAGCCACAGCCTTGGGTTTATAAGAGCTGAGCAGAGCTGTGAAGGACAACATTTTGGATGGTCTTCATTCATAACATCACCATAATTCAGAGATGACTTGACACACATAACAACAATTAAGGAATCCTGCCTCTGCTATGAAACCTTTAATTGCCAGGGTCTTTATAAACATTGTGTTGGCACCACCACTAGAGATAATCTTTAAATTAACAAAAATTAAGATGCTTATTAAGGGGCATTATTATGTAAGGGACTAAAGATGCAATCTTAATAATGTAAGAATTATAAAGGATCTTAAACTAATTATGCTGAAGGAATATTTACCATTCCTTTTTATGTACAACTGTACAATTTTACTGTACAGCACGGTACAATATTTACCAGGCATAGTCACCATTCCTTTTACATATGGTCTTCCACAGTTAAATAACATTTCCTTCACACTAGATTTTCCTAAACTTCATGCCCCTTAAATCCTCACAAACTGGAACAGTTGCTGTACGCCAGTCTTTCTCCGATTCACAAGCTTTCTGGAGTACTTGTGAAAGTCCCCCCACCCCCCTGCCAGCAGTCATAAAATAGCAACCTAAAATGCATTATGTATTGCTTTGTTCTTCAAATAATTATGTAGTATATTAAATTTAGAAGTGCAGTTTAATCAGTAATTACAAATTCACTGAGTTTACTTTCTAATATTGTAATGATAATTATTACAGATTTTATGCATAATTATGCTTGAGGATGCTCTGTACAAATATCAGATATGTACTGTACCTCCCACATAGCCTCATGGGGTCTGCACACAATTTGGAACTCATATGAATGATGCAACTGCATTGACCAGGCAGATCGTGTGGACCTCTTCATCCTCTTCAGTAGGATCGGTATAGATAGATGTTCTTTGAATGAACTTTTGTACTATAAATACCACATTGTATTTTCAGGCTTTGTGCTACTTTGTTCAGTAAAATAACATTATATAAGTAAAAAAAGTTAGATAAAAATTTATGGTCCAGGGAATATTTTTTTCAGTCATAAAATTGAAAGGGCCTGTTTTAACCATTGAGTCCAATCCTGTGCTCAGTGCAAGAATTCTTTTTAAAATATCCATGACAAATGGCTGTCCTTTCCCTCCTTGAATGCCTCTACTGAAGGAGAGACCCCACTGCTTTTCTAGGCAGGCAATTACATCGTCTCACCACTCTGGCTGTTTTTCCTCATGTTCAACTGGAATCTTCCTACCTGTAAATTAAGTCTGCCATTTCATGGTTATTTTAGAAAAGAGTTGGCATATCTGTGGTTAGTACTCTCTTTTTTAAGGCAAAAGATAACATAGTTCCTTCAGTTTTTCCTCATAGTCCCAGTGGGGCTTACTCCAGTTAAATGACTGGGTTCATGTAATCATGTCAGCCTAATGTGGCTTCATAGGAGACATTTATTTATTTTATTCAGTTAAAACATTTTTACCCTGTCCTTCCCAATAAAGCGTCTCAGGACAACTTACAATAATTAAAAACAGTAGTAATAAAAGTACAATCAACAATGATGATACAGTAATTAAAACAATAAATAGCAAAGGAATAAATAAATCACATTCATAAAAAGAAAAAAATAAATAAAAATGTGGCTATAATCTTAAACATCTAAAATCCTTAATTCTTAAAATGATGGTTAAATAAAAAGACATGATGGTCTGCAGTGTGTGTTGGGCATCTTTGCATATGCAAGGGGCAACTGTGGCTTTTCATGCCCAAACCTGGTCACAGTGGGTTGCTGGTGTGCTTAACAAACTACCCAGAACCCACGGCCTGTTTTGAGTTGTGTGGTTTGTTAACCACAGCAGCAACCCACTGTGGCCAGGTTCAAACAGCACAACAATCCAAAGTGTGGAAGCTTCAGTACTCAAACTGGCCACGCACCCATGCTACAACTCACTGTGGCTTAAATAAACACCTGGCGGGTTGCTGTATTATGTAAACCATTCTATAGTGTCTAAGACTACAGCTTTAAACATCCTTTAAATCTGTAGTCCTTTAGCTTTAAACATCCTTTAAATCAGTAGCTCTTTAAAATATGGAGTTAAGGATAGAAGACTCTTAGAAATAGTTATCAGTGGTGAATAATGTATGTAAATTTGTCTGAAGAACCTGTAACTAGTGATCTGGTTCATTAGTTTCCACATACAGGAAGGAAAGTAAATGGTATTGGAAGCTCTTATAGAGGAAACTTTGAAAGATATTTAAGGATTTAAGATATTTTTCTCCATGCAATTAATAAAATAATACACATCCTTTTGGCCTGAGAAGCCATCCTACCTTCACTGGATGTTCCCTAAATGTCTACCAGTTGTGAATCTTCATAAAGTCATGATGACTGTATACTTTTAAATTGGCTTTTATATTGTGCATGTTTAAGCAGCTATATTACATTTTGTAAATTGTGTGAACAACCTAGATAACTTTGACTAGGTGGTGTATGCATAAAAAAACCAAACAAACATTGTGACTTTTTGTTTCAGGTACTAAGTTTTTCATCCTCAGTTACCAAGGAACAAGCACAGAAGGTGGTGCAACGTACACATCCTGCTTTTGGGCTTCCCATAGGCTTTTGCTTGCTCACCATGTGAACATAATTCTGGACCAGAATGTCCTTTGGTTTTTCTTAAGTTTTTAATTGGAATTTAAACCACGTTCACACTATGATTTAAGATCTTGGTTAGCAAATTTGCACGGAGCCACATTTCTCTCTTTTGAACTGGGAAATGTAGCTTGAATGAATGGCGTAGTGGTCCAAAACCACTGTGGAATGGGGGTGCATCATTCTGGGCTAGGTACAACATGATTGAGCAAGCCAAATCATTATATCCAACCCCACTTTTCTCCCCGCCCCCCTCAGTAAAAGTGCTTATTTTAACTGTCTTCCAGGTTGACTCTCCAATGAACCTGAAACATCCCCATGATTTAGTAATACTAATGAGACAGGAAACAACTGTTAACTACCTCAAAGAGCTAGAGGTGAGTCTGGTATGATGAACTGGTCCTATTTGCAATCCAGCTTTGTAGGCAGTGAGAAGCATGAGCCACTACTTTTGCTGGTCAACTATCTGCCTTTGGGAGATTAAGACTACTTATGCTAGGAGCTTGACTGTCAAGAATGAGTTCCCAATAGTTCATTGTCAATGTCAGTTGTGCAACCTGTGGTCATTTCCAGTGTGGCCTGTGTGGATCCTGCCCAGAATTTCCTTTGTTAGTGCTTGTGCTAGCTAGGAAAAGCCTCAGACTTCCTTTTAACTGCACCAGCAAAGAAGGTCTTCACATTATTCCAGTCTCTCCTGAGGCTGGAGATAAGGGAAGTTGAAGGCTTGAGATTTCCTCATGCTAGCACTTATACTTTCCCTTATCCTTGTTCTCTTCCGAGTGTGTGAATATGAGAGTGCCTGTGCACATACCTATGCAGCTCCTGGCACTCCAGCAGACACCCACATAACCCTTGGAGACAATAAGCTTGTGCTCATCTACAAAGATAAAACTTGCAGCTTTTTAAAAAAGTATATTTTGCTCTAGGAGTTATAAACCTTGGCTAGAATGGGATGAATCATGGTGAGCCCAAAAGGCTTAGGTTTATTTTTCTTGAACAGCATTTTTCACCTCATTGTAAATTTCCTTTAAAATTGAATGGAGTTGAAGGGAGTTCACGATCTGGCATGCAAGACTGTTTTTTTAAAAACCATACTTGTTTAACAATGTTACTAATAACATTGTCTGCTATTTGAAATGCTCGATTTACTCCAAAAGCATTGTTTAGGGCAGCCGAGTACTTTTCAATTCTAATACTTATCTGTGGTACACATAGATTTTATTTTGGTATTCCAGATACCAATAATAGTCTCAGGTTCCATGGAAACTCACTTTCCATTGTTCAACCCATATTCTGGGTTTTTATGGGCAACTCTCATAACCCTTCCTCACAAAAGAGGTAATTATGATCGTTTGCAAAGTCTTACTAACATGTCAGCTAAATCCAGTATGAATAATGGTGGCTATTCATTTTGAATTGTCCAATCTGTTCCCTGGAATCTAAGGAAGTCCACCTAAGGAAACCACCTGTTGTACGCTACTAATTCTCAACATGGATCTAATATTTTAAAGGACAATATAGGACCTGTTACGTCTGTCTGGAAGATTGCAAGTCATAGCATTGGATCCTAAGAAGGACTGTGAACAGGTCTGTGTTGGCACAGCAGGGCATTTCTGCCTCCCTTTCCCAGTACTGGCCCCTGTGCACATACCTGTACAGTCACTCTTGAGGTCTAGGAAGCCCTTGTACTAACTTGGGGTGTAGTGCAAGGGGCTGCCTCAGAAGCAGGAAATCAGAAGAAATAGCATGGCCACATTCCAAAAGTGCCTTCTGCTTGCACAAGGTTCCCTCCACACTCCAGCCATAAAATTCTACATTTGTAAATTGTGATTGATTTACTCTTTCATACTGGATATGGATTATAAAAACGTCATGACCTAATTGCCCACCCTTTTGTGAAAACTTGTCTTATAAACAATATTGTCAGAGTGTGCAAGGTTAGTTTTACCATTTTATAATAATATGACTGTCAAATATTAACAATTTATCAACATTTTTTGTGCATCTTGTAGAAAAAATTAGTTGCTCAAAAAATCCATATAGAAGAGAATGAAGACAGAGACACAGGACTGGAACAAAGGCATAATAAAGAAGATCCAGATTGCATTAAAGCAAAGGTTCCCTTGGGGGACTTGGATCTCTATGATGGCACATACATCACTTTGGAAAGCAAAGATATCAGGTAATGAGATGACTAATTGTACAATAATTTACAGGAACTTTAATTTCATGTGGTAGGAGGAGGAGGATGGCGGTATTTGCTTGCTGGATTATTGAGTGATCTGTAAATTGCAGCTAATTCAGGAGCATGAGCATGTGCACATGATGGTAACAGTGAGGATTTTTCTAAATATATGTCATGAATTTCTTAGTTATTAGAACAAAGTGCACAGACCTTGACAGAGAAAGTATATTTCCCTGCTGAAAGACCCTGTTTGGCTCGCTGCAACATCTTGCTTAAAAGAAACCCTTTATTTAACAACTCTTCAGTTTGTGTCCTTGTAAATAGAGTAGGATGCACCTTTCCCCCTTTCCTGACCACGTGGAGTTTCAGGGAAACATGGAGAACACTCAGAATTATCAGGTCTGCACTTCAGTCTGGATGTTCTTGCTATAAAGGCATTGATATATTCACCATTCCCTTTGCAAGGAAAGGTCTTTTTATGGTTTTGCTTTTCATATGACTGCTGTTAAATGAGAAGCAAAATAACCAAATAATGCATTTGTAGCCTTGGTTTGCCACTGCCCTTGGCTGGTAGCTACTTTACTTTGACTTAAATGCCACGGAGTGGCATAACTTGTCATTTCAGACACTCAGAAGTGCACACTGAGTTACTGATTTATTAAAATTATGATAATGTTTGCACATGTTCCTGGTACCTAAAATGAATTTAAAATGGTAGTTGATGCTGCTGCAGTGTGTCACTTGGGCCCTTTGAAGGGACTGCCAGTGACTGTCAAAACAGAGAGGGTAAGCCTGCTTTTCAGCCATCTCGCTTTGCAGTCTCCAGAAAAGAAAAGGATGTGTATGACAAAAAAAAACAAAACAGCCACGGTGTGCTGCAAACAGCTCATGATTGCAGCAGGAGATGCTAAGCCAGTGCCAGCCTTCCCCAGTGGCCAGGGCAAGCTTGGGACATTCTGTTGGTCTTGCCTAGATGGTTAGAACTCATTCCTTCGGTCATGATGAGTGAGTGATGTGCAAAACCATTGGGAATTTCAAGGGTTGTCAGTGTGATTTGTTGCCTGTGCTTTACAGGAATTGGTCTTTGTTAGTATGAGACCCCATCACAGGACAAAAGCCATGTTGTATAGTCATGTGTAAAACCAGAGTTGCATAAAAAGCAGTAGCTTCTAAAAGCAATAATTTGTAACATTTGATCTTTCTTCCAAGAAAGATTTGGCCTCCGCTATAGTCATGTAGATTTTATACAGATTATGCAGTCGTCCCAAGACATTCTCAAACTGTGCCTTGGTGCTGAGTAAATTTTCTTCCCAAGCAGCAGACATCCTGGTTTCTCTTGAGAGTGAACCCTCCTAACTAACGCTTGCTCTGTATTCCCAAATTTGCACAAAGCTCCATCTATGAGTATGTCTGTAGATTCCTTTGATCAAAATTTTCTAGTAATGCAAGACAATAAGACAGAGAGCAACTTATTGTTATTTCATTTCTGTACCACCCCACAGCTGAAGCTCTCTGGGCAGTTTACATAATACATTAAAACATACGATAACAAATGCAATTAAAATAGCATAAAAATCAGGAAAAACATTAAAAAGTTTAAATAGCTAAGAACAGATTATAAAAACTGACAATACAGTGAATGACAAAAAGAGTGGCTCTGTGAAACCTGGTGATCTCGCTCAAGCTTCTAGGCTGCTGAGTAAGTCAATAAAAGCCTCAGAAAAGAGAGCCTTCTTAACCCGGCACTGAAAAGATGACAGATTAGGTGCCTGTCAAGCTGAGTGGGGAGGTTATTCCATAAATGGTGGTCCCCACCACTGAGAAAGCTCTCCCCCGTGTTGCCACCCTCTGCATTTCTCTTGGAATTGACACTCAGAGGACAGCCCCAAAGGTTGATTGTAATGTCCAAGTAGATCGTGGTTGGGAGAGGTGCTCTGATAGATATTGTAGTCCTAAACCATGAAAGGCTGTATAGGTTAAAAGTAGCATCTTGAATTAGGACTAGAAGCGTACAAGCAGCCAATGCAAATGGCCCAGAACTGATCTTGTATGTTTGGTTCTTTGGGTCCCAGTTCTTCACCAGCTGCAGCTTCTGAACTGTTTTCAAGAGCACCCTCATATAGAGTGTGTTGTAATAATCCAGTTTTGAGATTACCAGACCATAGACTACTGAAGCCAAGCTATCCCTATCCAGATAGGGGAAAAGCTGGGCCACCAGCCAAATGATGCTTCAGGCCACCTGAGTCCCAAGTGACAAAGATGGCTCAAGGAGCACGCCCAAGCTATGAACCTGCTCATTAAGGGAGTGCAGCCACATCTGGAACAGAATGAACACCCTCCCCCAATCCATTCAAAAGATCCACCACCAACAGCATGCCAGTCTTGTCTGGATTGTGTTTCAGTGTGTTTGACCTCATTCAGTCCATTGTTGCACCCAGGCACTAGTTTAACACATCCACAGCCTCACCTGCTGACAGTGAAAAGAAGAAATAGAGCTGCGTGCCATCAGCATACCAATAGCAATGCAATTAAAATTCTGGATGATCCCACTCAGTGGTTTCCTGCAGATGTTCAGTAGCATGGGGAACAGAAGAGACTATTGAGGATCTCAATGCTAGAAAAACCAATATTCCCCAAACACCACCTTCTGAAGACAGCTCTCCAAGTAGGAGCAGAGCTACTACATTGAACTGCAATTAAAATATGTTGCAAAACACTGGGGTGGATTCAGAATTTGCCAGCTGTGGATGGAAGAGGAGCTTTCCCCTGCAGAAAGTGTCTGATTCAGTGAAGGAAATCCATTGCTGAAAAAAGAACAGGTTTTGTTTCTCCCTCCTTCTGCTGTCCTCTACACCACACCCAACAAATCTGCTGTAGAGTTTTAGAACTGTCGGGAGAGGGTGCTGGTTACCCTCCCTCCCCCTTTTGCCAGCAAGACTGCTCCTGTAAGCTGAAAAGAAGCTACATCCAACCCAGTGTATTGGGCCAGACAGACAGATCTGTACGCTGCTCTGCAACAATATTTGTTTTTCTGCCCTTTCCTAGGCTTGGTTAAATTCTTGGTAAAGTTGGCCTCTTTCAGAACACTATTAATAACTTATTTGGGGACTTGATTCCTAAGCTTTTATTATCAGCATTTCAAAATCAAGGTGAATGTCTTGATTCTGAAGATCGTTTCATCAAGTTCTTTCTTGCAGAATATACAACTGGATCCTAGCTATGAATCAGTGTATGTCTCTTCTGGGAAAGGTATATTGCTTTTGGTTTCTAGCATTAAGCAGAAATGCAGTCTGATCTGATGCATAAAAGAGTGAGTGTAATGCCAGTAGACTTAAAGAAGGGAATATTTATCAGCATTCCCACATGATAATGTCCATTGATTAATATTTTGTTATTTTCATTGCAAACATGTATTCTAATATTTACATTACTTCTTGGTTTCAGCCCTGAAGACTATATAAACACAAAGTCTCCTTTACCTCTAGAGCTAGAACAGCCAGAATGTACAAAAATTCTAGATCTTCCATATAGTATTCATGCATTCCAGCATCTACGGGTAAGTATTCAATTTTATAGCCTTCTGTCAGTTTGATTATGATCTTCTCTTGCTGAGATGACCCAAATGCTTTGAACTACTCAAAAGCACTATTTTTTGTATTCACTTTAAATCTGGAATTTGTTAATTGAAGTAAATGTGTTAAAAAGTGAACTATTTCCTAAAGAAGCCTCATGAGCTTTCCACCCGCATCATCTGCACATTATTTGGGAGATGTCTCAGAAATTAAGATAAAACTTTTAGTAATGATGGCCACTAAATTCCCAGTTCAACTTTTGGGCCATCTACTATGGCTAATATTTCTTAATGTGTGTGCACAAGCAACTTGGTCCTACAAATTTTTGCCAAAAATACTCACCTTCTTTAAAAAATTGAAGGAATAAGTCATGTGAACAAATCTAAAATATAAATCCTTATATAATACGTGCTGATGCCTGCAGCCCACTTGCTCCTGCTTGATTGCTCCCTCTTGCACAAACAGCTAAACAAAGCAGAAATGGTACAATGCCTTTGCAAGATAGTTTACTAAAATCTAGGCACTCAGCATAAAAACCCTTTCAACTCTACTGCTATATAACAAGCAGCAGTTTGAAAATAATGTAGAAGCATAACATATTAAAACTAATCAAAAGCAGATGGAACTGAGGTTTGTCTTTAATGTCTCCTTGAAGACTGGCAACTCTGCTATGTGTTCCTTAGCAGAATATAAAAGGAATAGATACATCTTGGTACTTTTAAGTGATTATACCTATGGACACTTATGTCAGCTATGCATTACCCAATAACACCAATGGGAAGGTGTTGATGGATGACTTGGATGACTTTATTGGTGGTGTTATTTCATATCTCTGATTCTGAAAGGTTTTAAAAATTAAATCAAGGGAGATGCTGTGGCATCAGGTACACAATATGGAATAGTCTTCGTGGAGGACAGCTAATGATAGACTGAAGCATGCTCATATATTGATACCTACAGTGCTGTAAAATCATTTAATTGGCACCATTTGTAGAAGCATGTCATCACCTTTCACATGGAAATGCTGCACTATTATTGTTTATTCCAGTGCTCCCAGAATTTGCTATTCCTGTTGGTTTCCTTAGCTGCACTGTAACTGCTGGAAAAAAAATTAATGCATATGAAGCCATACATCCAAGCCTTCCAGGCAGAAATATTTTCCTTCTCTGTCTTATGGAACATCCTGCCAAATAGTAGCCAGTGTGTGCTAAATAATAGCAGCTGTTCACTTTACCACAATATTTGCAAACATTCCTTCCCTTGACATCAGGTTTTAATATCTTCTTTTTATGCTGTATATTTTTATTTTGTTTTACATTCTATCTTTTGTATGTTTCCTTGCCTGTTGTTGTTGTTTTTCCAATTTTGTCAGGCCTTCTTAAGAATCATAACAGTTTAAAAAGAAACAAATTAAAATCTTAAAAAGAAAACCACAGATATCATTTCTACATATGTAGACCATTATGTGTCCACAAGGTTTTCAGCATTAAAGCTCTGGTCCTTTTGCACACTTGCGTGGAAGGAATGTCCCATTGTACTCAGTGGAGGTGCTTCTGAGTATTACATTGCAAATGCGACAGGTGAGTTGGCACAACAGAAAAAGCACCCTTTGAATAAGCTATGCAGCATGACTTGTTCATGAAACAACACACACTGTGCCCCACAAACACTCAGGCTCACCAGGGGTGATCCACAGTTTCTTTCCTCTCAGTCCACACAGTCTCCAAGCTGCCTTGTCTCAACACTCCACTGCAATTGCAAGCCCTTTTGCCCTCACCATGATGTTTTCCCCTTCTTTTTCCTGATTTCTGAGCTGATAGCGCCTTCACAATAGCCAAGCAAGTATACTGGAGGGGCTACATTGCTTTGCCATCACTTTTTTCTTTTTAATTGCAAGGTACATGCACAATTTTTTGTTATTTTGTTATTCTTTTTTTACTTGGTTTTGTAGAAGTGTGAGAGGAAGCACTTAACAGTGTTTTGAAATGGGACCTGGTAATACCCTGGTGATGTTTGCTCTCAAAGTACAGTGGGCACCAACCGTGAACTTTGACCTACAGAAGCTGCAAATACCTTTTTTCTTACTTTGCACTTTCTTGACTGCTGTTGAAAGTCGAGCTGTCAAGAAAGAGCAAAACTGCAAGGGACCTTTGCTTTTGAAAATAGGATGGAGACTTTTTCATTTCTTTGAACTTTAATAGTAGACACCTCCTGGTTATTGCCCAGGTGAGGCTTCCCATTTTGGACTCCCACAAGCGTGCAGCTCTGCACTTGCACAATGCCAGTTAACAGAAACAAATTTACAGATTTCTTTTGTTTAAATAATAGTACTGATCCATTGACCGCCCCTTTAATGTGCCATTTAGGCAAATTGGAAGGGCTGATCTTGGCTGTGACCTTGGAGATAATGAAAAGCAATCTCTGGGGGGAAAAAAGGAAGGAAAGCCACTGCAGGTGCAAGAGGGCTTGAATTGAGCCTGTGACTTTCACTCCATGATGGTACTTGAGCATTCGTGGTGCTGCTGTCCATGGTGGTCACCATGGGTGAGCTTGGAAAGAATGACAAGGGGTTCTTGCTATTCTTGCCAAGTGATTCGCTTGGAACTTCCCCGTACACATGATGGGGTAAGTTACCTGTATTCTGGCAACACATTGGTTTATCTTGGGTACAAAGTCCCTTGAACAAGCCATGGTTTGCCAGGATGGCCTGTTGTTGGCAAGCCAGCCAGCCTGTGGAAATGGTTGGAATTCACCTGACACAACATGACAGTCCACGATGGCTAGTTACCCACAGTGAGTTGTCATGCAAACTAAATAATTACTTGTCTTTTCTAAAACAGGGTCTGCTGCTTTTTACCCCTTCAGGTGTTATGTGCTGGAGCAGTCATTGAGTGTGTTGGAGGGGAGTGGAACATGGTGGACTGGCCAGTTGCTGATTGCTGGGATTCTTATAAAAGATGATGGTCTTGCTAGATTCTGATCTTCTACAGCTAGGCACTAGTTATTTTCTTAAGCAGAAGGACAAACTGTAGAGTCACATAGTTTAGCTATGTCTTACTTGTAAGGGAATCCTGAGTAAGAACAACCATGTTGGATCAGACAAAGGGTCTATCTGTTTCAGCATTTTGTTCACAAAGTGGCTAACCAGCTGGCCATGGGAAACACATGAGCAGGACATGAGTGCAGCGGCACCCTTTAATTTAGAACACGTTAGTGGGCCACAGTTCTAATTAAAATAATTTTTTAAAGCATGCAAGCCTCCTATCAAGTCCTGATACTAGAGAATCCTGTACTAAAGAGCCACTGTGGTGTAGTGATTAAGAGCGTGGGACTGAGACTTACATGATCTGGGTTCTAGATCTCGCTCAGCCATGGAGAAGTCACCATGGCTCAGCTGGGTGACTTTGGGCCAGTCAAAGACTCTCAGCTCAACCTACTTCACTGGGTTGTTGTTGTGGGAATAAGACTGAAAGCCGCAGGAGGAAAATGATGTAAGCCTCTTTAAGTTCTCTGAAAGAAAAAAAGGTGGGGTCTAAATCTCATATTCATATCTGTCTGTCTATCTTCTGTCTCTCTCTCTCTCTCTCTCTCTCTCTCTCGCTCTCTCTCTCTCTGAGAACTCAATTGCCATTTCCAGCCAATTATTTTTCTTCATTCCATCTAGGGTATTCAAGAAAGAATTAATCTTTCTGCACCCTTATTACCTAAAGAAGATCCTATATTGACTTACTTATCAAGACGGTTAGGAAGAAGCATAGAGGAGATAGGCCATCGCATTTATGAAGGTCTCATGAAGGTATGACTACAGTAATTACCTTGATGAAATCCAGAAGCAGTAGGTTCTAGAAGGTATACAGCACAAATGTAATTGGACTTAGTATTACTAACTCTACTGCTGTCTGTTGCTGAACAGCAAACATTCCAACAAATTAGAAATGTGCTCATGTAATGTATGTAGAGGACTCACTTTTGCTGGAATCTGAATCATTTCCCAGTACAAGTCCTCATAGTTGCCATTTATTACAAAAAACAAAACAGGAATGTGTTCAAAAACTGATTATGGTGGTACCTAGCTTAAACACTCATTGAGCAATGGTTTCACATGCTGTTTTTTAATCTTTACAGAATTCTTCTTCTTGGGTTTTATATAATATGGCTTCCTTCTATTGGCGAATAAAGAATGAGCCGTATCAGGTGGTAGAATGTGCCATGCGAGCTCTGCATTTTTCTACAAGGTAAGATCTCTGTGAATTACACAGATAGCCTTCCTAGCAACATAATGTACTGCATTATGGAAAATTAACTAAAACAAGAGTGGCAGTGCATATGGCTTCAGTTCAAAAGGCAAATGTAGATACATGATCAAGTTCAATTCTCATACTAAGTAAGCATTTTCAGGCTAAGCCATCTCATCTCTAGAACTGCTTTATATTGTTCAGTCTATGCTGTCAGTTAATCTGAACTTGTTTGCATTGCATACACATTAAGCGTGTCTGTGTGTCATAGTGTTTGCTTATATAAAAGTGTCTGGGCATCATTCGTGCTAGCCTTGGAATGATAGTTCCCTATGCTAAGAACAAAGTGACTTACTTATAACTCACTTCACAATACTATTATCCGTCAGCAAATGCTGAAGTGATGGTTAAAATTCACACATAGCTGATGCTTTTAGTTCTCAAATCCTAGTTCTAGGGCAGATAAGACTATTATTCCTAAAGCTTTCTAAACCAGTGAAAGCATCACTGGGCCTTTAAAAAAATAAGTCAACAGTCTTTCTCAGTGTATTTCACCCCTGCCAGCCAGCCAGCCGGTCAACCCACATGTTTTTTGATTACCTGTTGCTTGGGTTTCTTGCAAGAGGAAGTAAGGTGGCACATAAATTATAGTAGTAATAGCAGTATTAATTTAAAAAATCAAGCTTTGGTTGGTTATTTGATTGTATTATACTCCACTTACCTCCATAAAGCTACTTAAGAAGGCTACTTGTGGTTCCCAGGTAGTCTCTCCTCCAGGCATCACCCAGGCCCAGACCTGCTTAGCATGGTGGTTGCCTCATGTGCCTTCAGACCATGTCTTGGGACCAGTAGTGTAAGGCAGTTCATATAGATGTATACAGCTGTGGACATAAACAGCTAGCTGATATTGAATCAGACCACTGTTACGGTTGTTCCTAGCAGTTTGTATGAAATGCAGTTATTCACAGTCTCAAACCAGTAGCTTCCTAGTTCTGTCATTTCCTACCTAAATGCCAAAGATCAAACCTGGGGCCCAGCGGTTACCTGCTACTTAGAAAAAACTTAAAGTAACCCCTTACTGTTTTGTTTCTTCTCTCTTCTAGGCACAATAAAGATATTGCACTGATAAACCTGGCAAATGTGTTGCACAGAGCACACTTCTCTGCTGATGCAGCCATCATGGTCCATGCGGCTCTAGATTTCAGTGATGTCTTCACCAGTTATTATACTTTAGGAAACATATATGCAGTAATTAACATCTTACTTTTTATTAAGTTGGAATGGGAACACTGCACTACTTACAAATAAAGCAATGGGACAAATCTACTGGACTAAAAAGAATTGGATTCAGCAGTCTTTGCAACTTATCTTTAAGCTGACAGATAACAGCATTTGGCTATATGTCAAGGCGAGAGATGGGGTCATACAGAGTCCATTAAATAACTATATTAAACATAATTCTACTTCCAGAGTAATCACTTGATGAAACTGGTAATAGGAAGAAGTTCAGAAGTTATATTTAATTGATATGTTTAATTAAAGATTGGACAACCACATATTGGAGATTACATGAACAGTGCCAGCCAGGGGTCAGACTAGATGTCCCTTCTAACTTGCTTCTTTTCTGTGTTTCTAAGTTCAATGCCACTAACAAGTCTTTCTTTTCTCAATCCTTTTTCAGATGCTTGGAGAATACAACCACTCAGTGCTATGTTATGATCATGCTTTACAGGCCAAACCAGGGTTTGAGCAAGCCATTAAAAGGAAACATGCTGTCCGATGTCAGCAAAAGCTTGAGCAGAAATTGGAGGCTCAACACAGGTCATTTTATCTTCTTTGAAAATCAAGGAATAATTAGTTTCTCTCCACTGATGGAAGGTTTCGGTCAATGGAATGGGGAGGGACATTATTTTCAGCTTTATTCCCTCCTCCCCAAAGCCCCAGAAAATCTGTTGTAGAGGGTCTCCCAGCATTCTGGGACAGAATTGGCAGATGGAGAGATGGGAGGCTACAGGAGGGATCAAAAAATTGCACTCTTCCCTTTTCTCCTGACAGAAGCCTTCCTTAGGCAAGCAGCTTATCGCAGCATAACTGTATCTCATTGAAATACTGAAAGTTCTAACAACATGTGCACAGAACCTTGGAGTTAGTACGAAAAGTAATTCTTTATGGAACAGAGGCTTAAAGCAACTTGAATTTACTGTTCTTTGCTATTTACATTTTTCAAGATCACTTCAGCGAACATTAAATGAACTGAAGGAATATCAGAAGCAACATGACCATTACTTGAGACAGCAGGAGATCTTAGAAAAGCACAAGCTGATTCAGGAAGAGCAAATCCTGAGGAACATTATCCATGAGACACAGATGGCGAAAGAGGCACAGCTAGGTATCTGTCACATATAGCAAATGTGAAAGCCAAAATGGTATCCATGTGGTTATCAAAAGAAAGAAATTCAGGTTAGATGCAATTAGGGCTTTTAAATAAATTCATGCATTAAATAGAATGCTTGCCATAGAAATGGTTAATATCAGAAGTTCTCTTTTGGAAAATTTTATGGTGGTGGTCAGTGAAATTGATCTAGCCAGTATCTAACTGACCATGTGCAGGCCTTTCAGACTCCTCTTAGGTAGTAACCCATTCAGCAGACCTTCTGGAACAGCTTGGTGTATGTGCAGAAGACATGCTACAAAGGACGAACTGACCTCTCTGGACTGTGGTGGTTACTAAAATGCATGAACTAAAGTCTGTTCCACAGAGTTTAGTCTGGAGTCTCACATTTCTGGACTGGATATTCAGTTTTTTTCTGGAAAGATCTTATATGCCGGCAAAGATATTCAAGTGCACAGGCTCTTGATGGGTACAAGAAAACACTTGCAATTGGTATCTGAAATGTTCAATTTCCATGCAGAATTGAAACTTTCAAGAAGTAACACAGAACAATAATTCAAGGAAGATTGTGGATCCTTCCTGGTTTTGGAAGAGACTTGTTTTGCATTAATGCTGTCAGTGAGCATTTTTCATTAGTTCTTAACTTGTATTATATGTTTACATACTACAGGGAACCATCAGATTTGTCGCCTGGGCAACCAGCAACACAGTTTGCATTGCCAGTGGGATCAACCTGTTCGTTATCACCGCAATGACATGTTTGAAAATGTTGAATATGTGGAGGTTTGTCTCCAGTGCCTTTGTCTTTTTCATGATTTGTGAAGAAGAGCACAAATCATTCTGTCTGAAGTTCTGCATTATTATTTCTAGCAATTTACTCGTAATGTAGTAAGGCTTTTAAAACAAGGGGCATGGGGAGTCCTAGCCAGTCAGCCACATGTTTTGTAGGATCCCTTTGAAGCTCCAAAATTCCTTGTTGGAGAATATCTTCTGCCTGGCTCTTCAACACTGCAGAAATTATACACCCATATAATTGGCTTGAATTATTTAAAAACACCCCTGGCTCTGACAGAAACCACCACAACCTTCTCAACTCCCTGAGCATGCTCATCTGTTCCTGTTGAGACTTATGACATCCTCAGAGTGTTTTGTAACACTCATACTGGCATGGAACAAAGGACACGCAAGACGAATTGCTATGTAAGAACAAAACCTTGCTTACTATTACCCTTGTACTTAAACATCTTAATTGCACAAATAAATATATTGAACTTTTGCCTCCCTCTTCAAAAAATCAATAGTCATTCTGTAATATCAGTGTTGAAAACCGCCACCCCTGTGTTGAAGACACTTGAAGTATGCAAATTCAAGCTATGAAGCTTTGGGAAATAGCTGCTTTGTAGTGGAATAATTATCTATTTATTGGCTTTTCTCTGTGTGAGAGGATCTCTGGGCCAGGCTTTATTTCTCAAGAGGAAGGGAGTATGCTAATGAAGTGTTAAGACTTGCCTCCTCAGTGGAGCTCTTTCCAGATCCCCCCCTGCCTAGCTCAGGAATCTGGTAAGTCTTTCTATCTCTCGGGGTTGGGGGGGGGCACCTACTTTGCCCATTACATAGGATTTTCTTTCCCCATGGGGAAACTGGTCCTTCACTGGGCAGTCCATCTATGGCATTTCTTGTTTTTAGTAAAAACTTATATTCATGGGCATATGGGACTCTGTCACTTTAACATAGAAGGTCATAAGCATCAGTGATTAGCAGTATTTACTTAGGAGTTTTCAGAAGACCTGTCTAGTGAAAAATCTTTAGGATTCAAGAAACACTGTTGGTTTTATACACTTCTAAGGACATATTTTACCTATTTCCTAAACTTCCATCCCAGCCCCACATTCCTTACACCTGGAACAATCTTTGTCTCTAATACCTGAGCTCCTCCCATTTCATTATTGCTGTTTGGATGGTTTCTCTGAATTTTACTGCCTGTTTTATGACTTTCCCCAGCAAGATCTCAGGGCAGCTTCCTGGCATAACCCAACCACCTGCTCCCCATTCCTGATCTTCACCAGTCACGCTAGGGTTATCTCAAGCAGAAAGAATCGCTGTCAATTTTCTCCTTGTCCTTTTAAGCATCACAGACCAACCAGCAGACCTCCTTGTCTTACCATTTCCTAGCTGGTCTTATTCATCTAGCTAGAATCCCCAGGCAATCAGAGTTAAATTTTCTTGATTGGTCCAGACCCCATCTAACAACATTCAAAAGCAATTTTCTCTCCCCTCTCCAGAATGTTACTCACCAGCTACCATGCAGACCCTTGACAGAAACAAAACAAAGCCTGCTCAGATACACAGTAATTTCACAGCGGCCGCAAAGTACTCATCACAAAACCATAAATATGGGCATTTCTTCACACCTCTTAATCCTTTCACTTCATCTTACCATTTCCTATTCCTAATGTAGAACCTTTCTCTTATCAAGCCTTGTAAAAATTTTTAGAATGCTCCTTTTTTCTTTTCTTTTCCTTTCTCCTCCGTGCCCTCTATTCTGATAGTAGTTCCTAAAGACAGAGAACAGAAATCTGTAAGAATTTTGAAGCAAGAGGCACCCCTGTCACCTTGTTCAGCTGTAGCAGAGACTTCAGGAAACAACGCTTGGCCAAAGGGGTGGGGGAATAATATTTTCTTTGTGTGGTTGCTGCTCCTGTCCACTAGAAGGATCTCAGGCCAGATTGATCCAGTATAAAGCTTGCAATAAGCAGTTGATTTAGCCAATCCTTTTAGTAGTAGTGCCCACATTCAGAGGTTTCCAACCGCTTAGCTTTGCTAGGTGCAGACAGCAGCAAAATCTTTTTGTTTTCCTGACATTTGGAACAAAGGTGTCATTCCCTTAAGCCGCCAAAACTGAATTGTGGCAGTGGACAATTCATGTAATTTCTCAGTCCCCAAAATGCTGAGAGCAGTTCAAACAGCTACTTATGATCCCACAGTTCACCTAATGGTGGCACAGAGTAATATATTCCATAAGAAAAGAATAGCAAATTATTTTTCTACCAGATCTCTGCTCCCCTTGCAAGGATAGGGCCATCCCCAAAATCAGAGCTACTCTGGAAACCAATTGAGAGATCCACAAATGCCATCATAAATGAGGTGCACAAGTTACATTGGAGTAGAGGTAAAATGGATATGTGAAAGATGTTTTCTCAGTTCTCTTGTGCGCTGCATAGAGTTTTGTAGGACTTCTTCTTCTGGCAACCTTTCCTGGTGCAAAGCTCAAGAACACCTTCAAGAGACAAAGAGATTTAGATGATATTGGAGTTCTTGCAGGAGACCTCATCAAGTACATGAGTGTCGGGATATTATGATGTGACAACTCTTAAAAGTGTTTCAGAGGCACTTCAGCCATATAGAGTAAACCTCATAACCTCCCAGAAGACTCCAGTGTTCTTTGCTAGCACAAAGGGCAGAAGGAGTAGATGATTTAATATCAACATGGGCTCTTGATCTCCTCTGTTTCATTCCATCAAGCCCCTCTGATCTCTTATCTGCTCACACTGATTTCCGATCGTATATTATTCTATCAGAAATTTGGTTGCATTTGGGAACTGGGAGAGGCACCTTCGGAGAAGCAAAAGTCTTAAAACTATCAGCATACTTGCTGCTCCTTGAATTAATAGGGGAAATAAAACCTGACCTGGGGATCCTCTGTACACCAAGAATAAACCCTCATGATAAGTCCCGTCAGTTTTTTATAATGTAAAAATCAGATCATTACAGATACAAATTAAAATAGTAGCTAACCGTACTGATGTAGTTTTGAAGCATTTGGAGTTAAGGCAGTTGATGAGAGTGCCTACCCTTTTTGATCTTATTTTTTAAAATAAAGAAGCATCTTCCACATCTGGAAGAAACTTATCCTAACATAATCTATTCCACTTCCTTAATGTCTATGCTAGAATTTTGCCTGTGTCTTAGAACCATAAATCCAGGAAATTTGAAGCAAAATTGGGTGATAGTCTAGTGTCTCTGAATGCAGTGTGGCTAGTGATTTTCATAAGGCAATACTTTTCATGATAAAGGAATTCCATCAAGCTACCAATTCCATGCTCCCTTTTTTCTCCTCTCTATTTCTAGTTCAGTGGTGCTGATTCAATCTCCAGTATGACATCTATAAATTCTGAACTTCATGCCAACCACAGTGACCTCAGCCATTCCTTGGAGTCTTCCCCTTTGGTCCGTTCTGTCTTCTCACTCTGGGGTCTAGACTCTGATGCTTTCCAGGTATGTGGTGGAATAGCTGATTTTTGTTTGCTTGACAAAGCATTGTGGCACTCCTGTTTCTTGATGATGCTCTTCTAAAAGCTCAAATACATGACTAAATATGCGTACACTTGAACTAACATCTCTTGGACTCATTGTATCTCAATTTGTCAAGAATGCATTCTTATTTATTTATTTATATCCTGCTTTTTTCTCACCTAAGTGACATATAATTCTCCTCCTCCTGCTCTCAATCTCACAACAACAACCTTGTGAGGTAGGTTGGGTTGAGAGTGTGAAGTCATCCAGTGGCTGAGTAGGGACTAGAACCCAGATTGTCTGAGTCCTAGTCCCATGTTCTTAATTACTGCACCACACTGGCTTTTCGGTATTAAGTAGTTTCACTCACTCATCAAGGTTGCCATGCAATACAAATCACAGCAATAGTATGATTGAAAAATCTGTTGCGTGATTCAAAGCTATAGAATAGCTGCTTGACATTTGTGAAGTATTGGCCTGCTGTGATCAAAGACTTAGCTTGATGGATAAAGAATAACTGTCAGAACAAACTGGACACATTCGTAACACCTGCTTTTTCTATTATTTCATGCTCTGGATATTTGAGGAACTAGCATATCAGGAGAGTGATATTTAACAAAGCTACTTGACAAATGAAGAAACTTTTTCTTTCTTCAACAGGAGAAACAGAATATTATGTGGCCTAAAAGGTCAGATTGTATAAAGTCCTATCCAGTCATCCCTTCCCCAGAGGAACTTCCATCTTATTTCCTGCAACCAGAAAATAGGGGACAAAGGTTAGTGTTCATAATGCATATCTTTATATACTGCTTTGCTACTGTTCTACACAGCATAGCTTACAGGATACAAATAAAATCAGTGCAATAAAAACAAAAACATGTAAGTATCTGCATAGTTAAAAAATGTAGATTGTTAAAACATAGATAATATAATCTGCACTAAAGCAAACCAACACAAATGAGGCTAAAATATATTGTATATGTTCATCAACTGTGTTGCTTTTAGATGGAGGGCTCCTAGCACTAATAGCTAGAAGGCTCTGAGCTACAGTTCCACCTTTTTCTTAAATGGGTTTTCTAAGTAGGGAAAATACAGAAGAAGCTGTAGGAAACCCTAGGAGGGGTGCAAATATAAAGCAGCATCTGGATGCCTTGTAAAGTTCCATGAAAATAGTAGGGTGATGATGAAATAAAAGTCTCAGTCAGACGCCTGCTTGAAAAATTGACAATTTGGTTGCAGTTCAGTGCCTGTTACTTTCGGAATAAGTCACAGAGAGTTCAGCAGACTTTACTTACCAGTGAACATACAGATTATTGAGCTGCATATTTTTTTAGTTTGCTTTTAATAATTTGGCCTGGTAGGAAATGCAAATCAGAGTCAATGTTTTCAATGTGTGAATTAACAATGATGATTTGTTCCGCCTCTTCTAGTTCTACAGGACTTTAGTTCTGCTCTCTGTGGTTGCTTCAAATTGATATCCCTGAAACCTGGACCATGTTGCTACATTTTCTTCTTTCTTTTGTTTGATAGAATCCATTCAGTGCTTAACAGCCCAGGCAACGACCATGCACAAACAGAGGTCTATGAGCCAGATTGTTCTTCCATTACTGATGACCATAACAGTGATTCTACATCCATTTTGATCAAAGAACTAGACAGTCATCTAGATCTGAGCGTAAAGATGCCAGATGATCATGCGAAACAAGTTAGTGTGTGTGCTTGTGTTGCTTAGCGCTCGTTGTCATCTCTGCCCTAGGAATAGTTACCCCAGATTTGACAAGTTCTTCAAAGCAAACCAACTCCCCTCATAAAATCAATTTTAGAAATGAGGGAGTCTTTGAGAAAGGGATGCCATTACAGGATGGATGTTTCCATTTATAGAGAACCTACCTGCAACACACTGAAGGCAGCCCCCATTTTTGCACTGTGATCAGATTCTGAGGGTGTGGCTTATTCAGTTAGTTGACATCATACATACAAAAGAGGGCATTAATGTACTCTGAATCAGTAGTGCTTTAGATAGGAGGAAATGTAATACCTGCCTAAAATATACGATGATGTTTCCAACTTTTCCTCCAAGCAAACAGAAATAGCCTTTTGCAAAAATAAGCCATTTTGATGACATCGTTGACTACTTCATTTCCTAGTTTTGTTTTGCTGGTTTGTTTTGGCGGGGGGTGGGGGGTGGATTTTGACAGCATCATTTCTTCCAGTCTCTGTCAACTCTCTGCCTTTGTGCAACTAGACAAAGGAAGATCTGGTTCCAACCAAATCTCTAGTTGCTTGCTTTCATTTCTGAGATTACAAACCTTATTTGTGTTCCTTATTTTTATTCTGTAGGGCCAGCCTGGATCTCTACTAACTTATAAATTGACATGGTAGTTTTGCTTTTCCAACCAATGCCTGCCAATTTAGCTGTATATTCAGAATATAAACATGAGATTTGCTTCTGTAGTGGTAAAAATTTAGTGGTAAAAATCTAGTGATCCCTAAGATAGTTAAGCAAACAAACTACTACTTCTTACTTTCATCAAGCACTTTTTATACTTCCTTGAAGTATGGTTCTAAAATGTTTTTCTGTGTTGTGTAGATATTATACACTCGTGTCAACAACCAGTCAATTACACAGCAGCAGATAGGGTCATTCATCCATCATGCCATTGTAAAGGTGAGTCCAGTTCCAGTAGCTGCAACATTTGCTTTTTACTCGCCTCTTAGAATATATTAAATGTATGCCAGATTCCCAAAATATCATCATTTACGAAAGCATTTGAATAATTTAAAATGTTCTGTTTAAGTTAACTATAAAACTGTCCCACTCTCCTCTTCTTAAAAAAGCTCAATTTTGGTATATGAGTCTTAGGCTACATCTTGTCACAATTGTTCTTGTGTGTCTTCACTCAGGCTTCCAGTTTGCCTAAAAGTGCTTGAAACTTCTAATTCTATTTTCCAACATTACTTCCCAGCATACTTTGCTAGCCTATCATCTAGCTATCTTTGAAAAGTACACAGCTATCAGTATTTACCTTTCAAATATAGTCTTTTAATTTGTAAATTGGTCCTGACTGCTTTTTACAGTGAACACATCCTCATTGTTTACAGCTTTATCAATAAAATGTTGCTTTCAGCTCCTCTGAGATGGCTGCTATCTTCAAGATTAGGGTTACAGTAGAAAAACCCTAGTGCATTTCTTGATACTTTCTTCAGCAGATCATGCTTTCCTGGGATTCAAACAAGGATCTGCACTGTGTGATTTTTAGTAATATCCTGAACAATCAAATCAATGAGAGGGGAGAAAAGCAAGTAGTTTTTTCTGCTAACAGGCAATCATACTATTACTAGACTTAGTGTTAACATTTTCCATTGTTAGTTCTTTGGTACCTTAATTTATTATCACATCATTTATTAAGAAAATATTCAGAGTGTGATCCTATGCATGTTTACTCTGTATTCAAGTGAAGCTTACTCCCTAGTAAATGTGTTAGAATTGTAACCTCAGCTAGTCATCCTTGCATGCAGTGTATCACACAATCCTATAATGCAATTTAATGGTTATTTCCACATTGTTCATCTACCAGACAAAGAGAACCAATTTGCAAAAGCTAACAAACTGTCTATAATTTGTTAAAAAACCAGCCACCCCAAAATCTAGACGTTGGGATTAGAGAGAAGAAAAAGGACATTGCCCTGAACCTTGTGCCTCACTTTTTTTCCAGAAGAGAGGGACATGGTTGATAGTTTGTTGGGGAAAATAAATTTCTAAGTATAATACTTGATCCAAGCTTTGCTATCCACAGCAGCATTGTATGTTAGTGAGGGCATTCAAGGATAGGATGGGCATGCACATGGTAGGCATGTCATGAGTGGAGCCGGCTGGAGCCAGGGGTCAGACTAGATGGCCCAGGAGGCCCCTCCTGACTCACTCTGTTTCTGTGTGCCTAAGTGTAAGACTTTACTTGTTCATGTGGAGATGAAGACATTCATAAATGCATGAGAAAACAAAGGCATGCATTTCAGCATGGTGGTGCTCGTCACCTGCTACCTGCTGTTGATGTTTCCAGCCATCTAACCTGTTCATCTCTACATCACCACATCCTCTTTCTTGATCTCATTGTGATGAAATATTTATATATGGTTTGTGCACCAACCTGTGATGATGATCACTGAAAACTGTTCTGAACTTCTGTCACTGTGCAAGGGAAGCAATGGAAAGCTAACACTGCAAAGAACAGAATGAGATTAATAATGGTAATCTTTCATTTCCCCCCCTTTAAATTCAGGCAAGAGATCCCTTATGGCTGGCACTCAATGAAGCGGGTCTGTACTGGCGTGCATTTGGAAATGGCACCTATGCCTTCACTTGCTTAAGAAAAGCATTTAACTTGACCCCACATGAATTTCAGGATATCCCTTTAGTCAATCTAGCCAACCTTTTGATTCACTATGGCCTTCACTTGGATGCCACCAAGGTTCTGCGAAAAGCTTTAGCCATCAATGGCTCTGAGGTGAGCATCTTTGTTTTATGATAGTTTAATTGAAGAAAAGCAGAAGACCTCCTGTTCTCATGTAATCCTTCTAACCTTTCAGTGCTAGATGCAGTAATATAAATAGCTAATTATATTTGAACTTCAGCACACTGGTTCTTCTACTGGGCTGAATCAAGAAACTAATATTAGCAAGTATAAAAGGTTTATTTAAAAGTAAGTATTGTTTAAGCTTTACTCTGCTCATGCAAGGTACTTGCTCCCTATTTTGGACAATATCTTCCTCCAACAGTAGCTCCCAAACAGCAGGAAGAGCACAGAGGAAGCTTCTGCACACACAGTTTTGAGTCCAAACCAGTAAGCTCAGTGGGGCACAATGGAACAAACTAATGAGTAATAATACTTATTCTGTAAGGAAGATGTATTTGTTTTCCTCAACCTACAGGTTTTGAATTCCATATTTTTAAATCTCAATTTAATGGTGGGGGAGAAGGTTATGAATACAATGTGATATGTGGTTTAAATATATTAGCTTATTTTGTAAACCAGACCTGCCAAGAATATGGAAGTGGTTGTTGTAAAATCTCCAGTTCTTTGGACTGCTGAACTGCAGAATTAGGGGTATGTCTAGTCCTAATACTAAATGTTTTAAAGATATTTGAGCTTTTTTCCTTCATTGTTTAGGGAGAAAGTAAAAGGTAGAAAATTAGGCATTGCTCACAACTGAAATTCTGGCCTTTCCTCTATACCTGTTCTGATGCAAGTTTGCTTTTCTCCTTTTAGCCTTTGACTTGGTTGAGCTTAGGAAATGCCTACTTGGCTCTGAAGAATGTTAGTGGAGCATTACAGGTTTTCAGACATGCCCTGGATATTGCTACAAAATGCCTGGAGTGTGAGAGGAGCTTGAAGCTGATCCGCTGTTTGCAGTTCTATCCATTTCTGTACAACATCACCCCTTCCACCTGCAGTGGTAAGCAGCTGCTCAATAAGTCCCCAAATTAATCTCCTTTTCCTGTACCACCACCTACAGAAATTGGATTATGATTCTTTCTCATTGCTCTGGTATTTCCTTATATATGTCCAAGAGGGAAAGGAATAGGGTTTTTCATTGTTGAGAGTAATTGTTGAAAGAGGCAATTGAACAAAGCTCTCTCCCTAAATTCCCAACATAAATCTTCTAACAATCTCTGTTTGCAATATTTTCTACTCAGTCAATACTAGGATAGTACCAGTCCTTCTCTGCAGGACATTATTGAAATATTCACATATTTATACCAAGAATTCAAGATTAGAGGCTCAGGGGAGTAGTCAGGAATAGTTTTAAAACCAGCACTTTGATTAGAAAATACTAAAACAAGTATTCTGTTTCTTCAGAAAGTACTGTAAATACTTGAAGAATTCTAGCTTCTCATTCAAGTGGAGCAATAAACGGTTTAAACAAGTGCCTTCAGCATGATCTGCTAAAGCTTTGGCACATTCCTGCTCATTAATAACATATAATTAGATATACAAAATTAGAAGTGACTCTTGAACCAGTCTAGAATTTAATTATCAATAGAAGTTAATATGTCAAGAGTTTATTAAGGGTTAGAGTGGAATGCATTATCTTCACACGAATACACATTATGTGCCAAGGTGCAACATTTTCATTGCTCAGAAAAGATATATGTCAAGTGTTTAGAGACAGAGATATGGGGCATATCCAGGCTCTGAGAGATGCAGAATCTAGAACCTGGCTTTTAGATTTCTGTTTCTAGATTCCCATTTCCAGAGTTCAGATGAAGAGAGATGTTTGAACTGTGAGGAAAGTTTTTGGGCAAAGACTCAAACTGCAAAGGTGTTGGGCAGGACTTCCAGCTGTCTGGGATGGTGCAGAACTGCCTGTAGTAAATAACTGGATAGTAATGCTGTTCATTCTCATTCCATTCTTCTCCAAATCCCAAGTACTACTGTCTTTCTTTCTTCTTCTGGTTTCTCCACATATTACCCAAATCCTTCCAAATTCTTAGAATGGCAGCAGACTCCAAAGAAGCTGGAAATGTGTAAAAGCTTCCACAACTGAGAAATATTTTCCTGACAATGTTGGATACTGATATTCACCACTCTTTCTTAAACTATTCATATTGCCTCTCTTTGGAGTGTGTGGTGTCACACATGCTGTTAAGCCCCTCACATTTGGATAGTTCTGAGTATCTTGGGAATTAACATTAAGTTTTCTAATATGACTTAAATATGCATATAGGCTGGAGAATTCTGCCCTTTGCAGGTAAACCTCATACAACTTCTGAAATATGTGTGCATTTTCCCTGCTGTATTTCCTATATATCTTTAGAGTAATAATGCCCTATTCTGTTGTACTTTACACAGGTATTAAACCAAGACCATAAATAGAAAATGGTTTTTATTAAGTATGGGTTTTGAGAACTTCCTCCCCATGCTATACTGTTAGTTCTTTCAACTTGCATGACTCCTCAGAAAGAAAATACTACTTGTCTGTTTATAAGAATGAGGCTCCTAATATCACTCTGGGTTTGATACTAATTTGGGATCCTATGGATTTTATTTCTGCCCTATATTTAAAATGTGGATCTTGTCAGAAATATTCAGGGGAAAATACACAAAACATAAATATGGTTTTGGAAGCCTCCATATTTATGTTCCCTCTACGTTGCTCTTCATATGCTGTGTTCCTTTCTTTTATAGACTACAGAGGTGGGCAATCCTTCAGGTCACCTTGTCTGTCCCCTGCTAGTGTGAGAGCATTAGAACTTTGAACATGAGAAATGGTGTGGACATTTTTTGTTGTTATTAAGAATGTGAAATAAACATTCAAGTGAATCCAACTTCATGATACTGATGATTTTTTGTGGGGCTCAAAGTAGTACTTTTCAAGTGGAAAGCAGAAGCACCAGCAGTTGGCCAACCTGCTTAACAGTCGTTGCCCCGTGTAATCATTTTAAACACACACAAAATAAAATTCTTTATAAGAATTAAGACATTCAGACCTTCAAATATATTTGACCCTTTCTCAAGTATAAAGGGTAGCCTGATCTAACTAAACATACGAAACTGCCTTATACCACATCAAACCATTAGAGCACTATTTTCTCCACTTACTGGCAGCAGCTCTTCAGGGGTTCAGAGGTTTTCTGAGCCATGTTCAGTATTGGTTCTTCCCTTTATATATAAATAGACTATAAATGTTAGGACTTATACTCAAAGATGTCCAATCACCTTTGCATGCATGGCCTGTGCCCCTGCTTGCTATAAGTTTTTATGAATATGGAACCATCTCAGTTGTTGGGATAAATAGACAAGATAATTTTAACTATGATGTAAAGCAGTTACACAGTGAATATCAAAAGAATATCCACTGTATAGTTACATATGCAGAAAACTGCACATCATTCAGCATTAACCTCAGAATGCAGCAAAATTAATAATTTCCTGTTCTGTTACTTGTGGTTATCCATTCTTATAATGAATATCTGTATATATTTTTAAATATTCATTCAGTAGTTAGGACTGTTTAACATGCCAGATGTTTCCTAAATAGGTAAGGAAATGCATGCCAAAAAGGTTGGCTCATATAGGAAGCTTGTATTTACACATGAGCATCCTGAGCCATACTTAGCAACATTCATACTCAGTGTTTTATGTCTGTCTATACAGATATAATCAGCTATAACAAGCAGCAGTTGTTACAGTGATAGCTTTAATATTTCACAACTTCCTAGCCGTGAGAATCAGTGACTTGTGATGGGTATGTAACCTATGGATGGCTGAAGCTTTTAACTACTTTTTGTGAATCACCCTTAAAAGAAATGTTCAGACAAGTGGATGCACAAAATGTAGGTTGTTGCTGTTGCTCTTGTTGTTATGCGCCATCAAGTCGACTCTGTGAAAAATGCCCTCCAAAATATCCTGTACTTGACAGCCCTGCTCAGCTCTTGTAAACTCAATGCTCCAGCTTCCTTTAGGGAGCAAGTTCTTCACCATTGTACAGTAGTGTCCCTTTTGCACAATCAGAAAAAAGTCTGTGTGTGGGGTTTGTTTGTAATCCACTAGTTAGTAATTCACCAACTCCTATTTATTGGCCAGTGGTTACTTTGTCAAAAATTAGTCTCTGTTATATCTTGAAGTAAACTAGATTGAGGTTCATGCAACCAAATACTAGATGTCATTGAGCGACCTTCGGTGAAGTACTATCTGCATTTGCTCCATGGTTTGTCACAAAGAGAAGATGGGAAGAATGTTGTGGTACCAAATACTTATCTTCCCCAATCGATTAAGATAGAATGACTAGTGAACAGATACCGGCCACATAGATACTGGCCAAGCATAAAATTAAAGTACAAAAGGTCGTAGTTGCCAAGATGTTCCTGATTACTGTGCTGTTGGTTTCCATTCTGCTGAGAGATAAGCAGCACTGGTCCCATAGGCCTCCATGTCCCAAAACTACATCACCTTTTTCTTCTTGTGTGTACCTCAGGTCCTAGACACTATATTGCTGAGAGTCTAGGGGAGGTAGATTTGGTTAAGCAGGCAGAGCACATTTAACATTAAAGCTTCCACTAAATTAGTTTGCATATAGGCTGTAAATAGAATCACAGTCCTATAGATGTCATAGCTCTGGTGCATTCCAGATAAATGGACATAAGTTTGCAACCTTAAAGCTGCTTAGACTACACCCATATTTCTGCCCTCAGACAGGTAATGTGGCAAATGTGTTTTACTTCTAGTCAAGGAAGCACCTGTTTTTGGCTGATTAATGTAAATATCAAGTGCTATTGTTTGGGCTAGATCTATAACTACCTTGAAAGGTGGCTCCCAAGCCAAATTTGAAACATTGACTTTGGCAATATGTTACCACCTACCTATTCCAGACCCTATTATACAGTTTAATTATCTTCCTCTGGTGTGATGGTAAAAATGCATGTTGTTGAATGCTAACTCCCATCACCATCAGCAAGCATGGGATTTGTAGTCCAACATCAGAAAGGCCAGAATTTCTCCTATCCCTACTTTAAGTTGTGGGTGCTTTTCTCATTTTGTACCCTAATTGTTTTGTTTTTTCTTAGTTTCTAGTACATATGTTAATCAGACAATGATTCTACTCATTCTAATTCATGTATTTCTGAAACACTGTATTTTTTTCTTTAACCAGCATCTATACTGTGTGTCCTGTGCAGGCTTTTTTTCTGCTGCCCTCTTGTGGTATATCACATTTGCATTTCTTATATGCTTCTTGGAATAAAACTCTTCAGTTGGTTTCTTTCAGTGTTCTTTATTTCAGAGCTATATTGGAGGAATGTATATGCTGTTGAGCCCAGAATTCAGAATGGGATAGCTTGTGACCTAGTTTTCATAATCAAAATAGACCATGGTGGCTTATTTAAATCACAGTGCAAGGCACAATTTCTGTAATTACCACCCATGCACAGCTTGTTCTGTCATCCAGCCCTGGAAAACACAGGTTGATAGAGAGGGAAGCATTCCTACAGCTGCCAGGGAGTTATCAGAAGGTTGTTTCCCCTTGCAACATGCCATTCCAACTCAGGCTCAGGCTGTGATCAGGTGATCATTGAAACTCTCTCTGCCATGCAGCACAGTGACTTATTTGATAATGTAAACTGACCCCTGTATCTAGCAAGTGAAGATGTGCCACTTCTTGCTAGCCAGCTTTTCTGAAGAGGACAGAAGCAGTGTATCATCTTCACAGGAAGGCTTGAAGGACCTTTTTAAAAGATGTCTCCAGCTTTTGCATTTGGGGAGAAAATCAATTTTTCCAGTTTGGGGAAGAAGAAGAATGTATTTAGAAAAATACATTCTTTCACTGTTGCATTATTGTGGCCTCCAGAAAATCTAGGAAATCAGGCACTTTCTGGCCAGTATGTATCCATTAACATGTATTCAGTCTTGAGCCATAGATATACATTGCAGTCAGAGTAAGGATTGCTGTAAAGTAGG